ATACTTGTTTATTGCCATGATAAGTATTACTGACCACTTTCATATAACAGTCAGTCCAATGCAATGAACAAAGCGCCATGTCCAAAAGTCAGTTGCAGTACACCTGTGGGTGCTAAGAAAGGACCTGGAACAAAGTTCCCACTCATTGCCAATCGGCGTCCACTACCCTCATGGGCTAAACCAACCACAATATGCCAAGGCGTTACCCGTTCTCCGCGTGATTGTTGGACCGACAATGAATGCTTTCAGCCGACCAGGAGCGGCAGCAGCAGTGGCACCAACAATGAGTCAATTACGACTTCACCAACTTCACCAACGTCGCCCGCTTCACCCATACCTACGGCGCTTGTGGAAAACACAAGTAGCATACGTACTGCTAGATCAGGGCTTTTGAAAAGCAGCACTAGAAATAGTAGCTTCTTTCTAAATGATACCCGAGCAGAAAATGCTACTACATCAGAAGAATCTGAAGCAGGAAACGTATCAACGACACGAGCTAGACCGAGACTCCATACCAAGCTTTTTCATCATGACACATCACTGTCGAGCAATATGAACTCGCCAATCACACCAACATCACCACAGGGTGGTGTAAACGCTTCACCGAAAACAAAACAGAGCACGGGTTCAAGTCACTTACCGGATGTTTCGCAGAAGAAGCAAGAACAGGAACATGTGCAAGCTGCTACTGCTGATAATAGCAAGCCTTGTAAAGAGCAGCAAGCGAGTCATCAATCGAAGAAAAAGCGGATATGCTGCAAATGCAATCAACCACTGAGACGCAGTGGTAATACCAAAAAGGGCGAATCATCGAGTCGGATTGGTGTCCCATCTGCAACTGGAAACAGAGAAGATTACGCGTGGTACCATTACGAGTGTTTGCGTTGTCCAGTATGCGATGAGCATTTTACGGAAAAGGATTACTTTGTGCGTCACGGACAAGAAGTATATCATCCAAAGGTAGCAGAAGAACTCAATTACAGAAATTTAAAGTATCTACTAACTCTTAACTTTATACTCACTGGTAACATTGTGTAATATTCATAAATTTAAAGTGTCGAAAAGCGGCATTGAACAGTAGCAGCGGCAATAGTGGCATTGGAAAATCGCAACGACAAAGCAATTGCACAGTATGCTCCAAGAAAATTAAGACTGGATCTGGCGGCGATGGTTTCGATTTTGATAAAGGCAAATACCATTTTGAGGTATAGTACGCTTACTGGAACTGATGAATTTGCGGATGCCTTTCATGTAAATATCTGATTACAATACTATGTAGTGTGCTTTTGTATGCTTCAACTGCCAAAAACTCATAGAAGGTCCTAACGAGCCGCGAAAACAAGTTGGAGGGAAGGTTTATTGCTCAAATTGTCCTACAATAAGCACCAGGTCGCCGCCAGTACCGGCGCCCCGCAGACGTCGTTGTGTAAGCAGCGGTGCGATAGCTCTAGCTTCTGGTACAGACTTGGCTGATACTTCACCATCCGAGCTTTTTCGAAACCGTACCAGAGCTCTTCCGCAGTTAGGAGGACCTTCTATATGTCCTCGGTGCAAGCAAAGTATCTCAATCGTTGATCTTACTAGGGGCCCACGAGCGAGAGAATGGCATATTAAATGTCTTGCGTGTGTCACCTGTAATAAGCGCATGGATTCTGATGCCAAAGTCCACGTAAACGAGCAAGGAGAATGGCTAGTATACTGTCGTAACTGCACAGTAAGTAGAATACCATCAGAGCAAAGGCGAATAAGTTGGTTGGATGGTTTTTGATTCACCAAAAGATATGGTTCTAATAATACTTCCTTCTTTGTTTATTGTAGGATATGAGGCGTCGATCAAGTTATATGCTGCAATGAAACATGTGATATTTTCAGTCTTTTTCTTTATGTGTATGTGTTTATAGATTATTGCCTATCATATTCTATGTTTATGATTATCTTACATATGAACAAGTTATATATTACTACCATCGTTACTACTCTATATATCTTCTTCCCCTTATTTATGTTGGTCATAATTGTGCGCTGTTGTTGTTAAATGCAATCACACTATGATGTAGCCCTTTAACTCTTTTCCTTGACTGCTTATTTCGAGCCATTCTTACTTATATATCCAACGATTACTATAGTAGTGAAAATCTGCACAAGAAAAGGACAGTCTCAAGGAGAAAGAGTAGGGAACCTTGTCTACGCTTCCGCTTTTCGCTGAATCATCGCAAGCATAGTTTACACCTGACTTTCAATAGGAATGGATAGTCGAGTAAGGCCTACTGTATGCGAGCTTGAGGCTTCGCTATGGCCATAATGACGAACCAGCCATGCAATTTTGTCTATCCCGCATATTCTTTGTTACCGTATTCAATTTCTTCCCTCTTGGCTTCTTTTTTGGCTTTTGGAATCATCAAGATCGACTTCAGAAGCCAAGGTAGCGATACTAAATATTATTAAAAGTTGCTAACAACTATAACGGGCAGCGATGAAAATTTGTCGCAGACTTAACATTGCATGTAAAAATAACGACCCGGCGGCAAATCTGAAGATAATATATGACAGCTTTTCTGTACGAAATATTTGGTCTCACTCCTTTTTAAACTTTAATCCTTTTGTTACGCGTTTCTCTGCCACGAAATCTTGCATCAACACCAATAAAACAGTATAGCCATTTGCGTCTTCCAGTAGTATCAAAGCAGCAAGGGTGACTCTAGCGCATAAAAAGCACTACCAGCATCAAGCGCTTCTTATAGAGTTTCTGGCATTGAAAGTGCAAGTCAATGGTTTCGCAGTGCGAGACGCGCCGATAAAAGATGAAATAAGCACTTCAAGACTTATTGATTTAGCTACTTGGTAAACATATCCATTTTTTTTTAAGTTTCGAATGACTGTTCGCATTCTTTGTGTGATATGATATTAAATATAATGTGTGACTTTGTCAGTATCGAAATAAACACAGTGTTGAGATATAATGCCTTGTAAAATGGTAATTTCTAGCTTGGTAAAGTCTTGTTATGCTTTGAGAAACCTATTGCCTTTTTCATGTTAGTTTTTTCTTGAGGTAGTAAGCTGCTGCTAACTGCCTCTTCTCTAATCCATGCCATATCTGCTAACATTGGTTTTGCCCCACACATTATATCATTCCTTTCCTCCCTAGGTATACGTATATTTTATGTGTTGCCGCATCGTCCGTCACACCGAAACTCGGCTCCGTAGTACAAAATTCCGATTGATGATATACTGTAAGATTCTAGAGCAACTGGTTCTATCTTTTTTCTGTGAAACTTATTAGCACAGCGTGCGCTCTCTTTCTGCTAGTATATTTACCAGCGCGCACAGAGTAGTACAATTCTGTAGAGCAGTTAAGTCATATGCAGTATCTCTTTCTCCACAATACAAGCGAGCTGCATATAGCTAATGCCAAAGGTAGATTAGTAGAAAGAAAGCAAGGAATGCTCCTATCGCATCTCTTAATACTGCAGTAGCGCAAATTCGTAGCCTCATGATATAAAGCCTTACTTCACATCACCACACCTCATATTTACCTCTCCAAATTTAATCTCCCTCGACCCTCATTAAGGTAGTCACCAATGCCACACGGCAAGTGCTTTCGCCGCCTTAGTAAATACATCCACCGTTTAGCAAATGCTTTTGCCGCACTAGTAAAAGCTTTTATCGCATTAGCATTACAACCCAACAATCGCATAGCTAGAGACAAAGAGACATCAATTAGTATAAATAGCCTTGCTTTTTTCATTCGATATTACTTCAGTTCAAAGTTTTATCCTTTTCTTTATCGACATTTCTTCAAAATAAGAAATCTTTCAAGTGGTTTTTCGGACGTAAACATTCCCATTTTCCATCAGAATAGATTGCTCCTTACCTTTTAATCACACTTCAATTCCGTCGTATCCAAAGTCTAACTGTCACTCCGCGATACCACAATTATACTATCTCGAAACGTTTGTCGCTAATGCTTTTTTTTACTAAGAATCTTTGCACCACAAATAACAGCAAATGTCTAATGCAACAAAATAGAGCCTCTTCATGTCTTCTGTATTTCAGCCATTGATGGTTTTCATCCAATGAGCTGACGATATATACAAACTTTAAAGCTTGCATGTGAAAGCAAATAACCCAGCAAACGGGAAAAGTCAACTCGTGCCTATTTATGTATTAGGCTCGGATGAGGCTGCGGTCTGTTTCGAATCTCACTGTGTTACTTTGATTTTTATAAAGGCGTCAATAAACGTCTCTCTCTATCCGTGCCTCCTTTCTTTCTTTTCCTTCGCTGCTCTGCTACCTGGCCGCTTCTTTATCTCTCCCCACTCTTTTGTCAACAAAGCTATCGAGAAAACATGGAAGTCGTCTTCAATGCATATCAGTCGTACGTTCTACCACTTTTATCACAGAGCACACAAGAGCAAGTGGTGATCTTTGGCAAAAAGCACAAGACATCTATTTCCGTTGCAGTCGCGGTGTATGGTCTTTACTTGTTATACGAGAAAATCACAAAACCGCCAAAAAATATCCGTCATCTGCCCCAAGTTCCCTTCTGGGGCTATTCAGGTGCACTTATTCGGGGCGAACCGCTTTATTCCATCGCTAAGAAGTTCACTATCCCAGCAGCAACAAATCCGTACGGCATGTATGTGGTATGTATCATAGCGTGTTTCGTTTAATAACTCCATCCTTTTTTTTTGAAAGTGCAAATTAATAACGCGAATATATCAACTACAGCGGTTTGATAACAGCGGCTGGTGCGTACGCGTCAATCAACCGGAGCTCGTGAAAGAAGTTTTTATGAACACAAGTAAATATCAGTAGGTCAAATGTTGTCGTGGAGTTCATGTTGATGATTTGTGTGACCAACAACCAATTTCTCTACCTTTCGACTTTTTTTTGAATCATAGAACTATTCCCAAAGGACGATCTTGTAAGCGAGCTCGATGGTACAGTATTTGGAAGATTCGTGGTTGGAGCTCCGAATTTGATCTTTGCAGGAAGTCATCAACACTGGTTGAATCAAAGAAAAGTAAGCAGCTAGACAATTTATCGGTTACCCTCTGTACCTTGATAATCTCGATTGCTCGTAATTGGAAGAAATAGCCTACGGATAACATACTAAACGTCTTTGTTTTGGATACATTTGTATGTAGGTCGCAAATCCAGCATTCAAACGAGCTGCGCCAGTCGAGACGTTCGGTCGCCTGGCCCAAGATCTATTTTCTGTCATGGATCAAGTTGCGGATAAGCCGATCGACTGTCATGATCTTATGGAACGCTTTACACTGGACGCGATCGGAAAAGCAGGCTTCGGTAAGAGAGAAATATATATAGATGGTGGCACAAAGTGGTACAAAGTTATGTATATTCTTCTTAAACTCGCGTCCTCTCGTTCGATTTTCAGATTTTGATTTTAAAGCAGTTCTCGACCGTGATAATGATTGGGTGCAAAGATACAACAACATTGTTCATGCAATGTTCCAACCTCTTCACTTGCTTATTCCAGCGTTGGATCGCAACTTTTTGTTTTTAATGCCTGAGCGTAAGCGCGCGCACAAAGAACTCACGAAACTGTTGGACATGTTACGAGGATTGGTCATCCAAAGACGGCAAAACTTGCAGGAGAAAAAGGCATCCGATACTGTTGAAAACGAGAAGGATGTACTGACATTGATGATCGAGGCTGAAAATGAAGGAAATGGAGCCATGTCGGATGAAGAGCTTATGGTATGTAAAAAAGTAGCAGATGAAGCGATTGTGACGCCTAGTTTTAACTTAGCAGTGATGGTTATCTTTTGCTACTGTAGAGCAATTTATGCATTTTCTTTATTGCCGGACACGAAACGAGCGCGAACAGTTTAAGCACTGCTGCATACTACATGGCTACTCACCCTGTAAGCTCTTTTATGTTTTTTTTGAAGCGTTTATACGGTAATCTAAATATTAATTAACTTACTTATTATGCTATACTTTGATTTTTATAGGAAGTTCAAGAAAAAGCAAGAGAGGAGGCGAACAGAATACTTGGTAATGAGCGTAAAGATATATTGCCAACACTTGATCAATGTCGCAAAATGGAATACATCAACTATATTATAGAAGAGGTGAGATTGTTGCTTCCCACAGGACCATGATGAAGGGAACGGAGACTAAAATGTTCTTGTTATCGCTGTTGCCTTGTATCAAAGACACTTCGCATGGCACCACCCGTGGTGACAGTTGTTGCTCGAAAAGTAACCCAGGATACTCAGCTTGGTAATGCTTTTATTCCCAAAGGCACGCGTCTCGCTGTCGATTTGTACGAAATGCAAAACAATCCCGCTATATGGGACGAACCCGACGTATTCCGCCCTGAACGATTTGCGCCTGGAAACGAAGCAGATAACCAGCCAAAATCAGGTTTTGCGTATGTGCCTTTCATTAGTGGCCCAAGACAATGCATTGGCATGAATTTTGCTCTGGATGAACAACGTGTACTGTTGGCTATGATGGGTAAGAAGGAAGGGCGTTAAATTATAAACCGTTTATTATTAGCTGTATTTCATAGCCAAAAGCCTTTTTTTTTTACTAACAACCATTTCGATAACCCGTGTTTAATGACTGAAAATGTAGTTCGTAAATATGAGTGGTCATTGCCAAAGGATTCTATTCACAAGGAGCGACTCCAGGCATCAGGATTGATTGTCAATTCCCCCAAGGATTTCTATCTCAATTTCAAGAAGCTCTATTAGTTTCTAAATCGAATCTCTATTTTCTAATTTATTTATAAGCTAGTGTTATTCCCCAAACCATGATATCATCCGCTAATCATATATACATCTCCTCGCAACGGAGGTCAATAAAATAAAATTTCGTTTTTCATGATGCAAAAGCAAGATTTAGATGACAGCATGATGGTAGGTGCTTTACACATATAGCGCCTATCAACAAAGCTGTTACGCAGAAATGAAATTTACCGGCGATACTTATTCTTCTACATTATTATTAGTTGCTGTGCATACATGGCAGCAGAGCTCAAAGTTATTGTACTGTACACCTCAAGCATGGGTGAATTTGTCTGAGTAGTAGTAGTTCAGCTTTGCTATACCTATCTCTTAGCTTATTCCATCGGTTTACCTAGACTTTTTCATGCTATTATAGCATGATTAACGTTATAAAATCTTAGCGATTGAGCAGCCTCTCACTTGATACATTGGCGATGGAGCTTATAGTAATGCATTCCTTTGCCTCAATATTGCACAGTCATAAGGTGGCTGTATTGAATAAACAAACCCGTACATACAATCCATTGCTAAAGTATATTTTTCGCGACATTACAAAACATGACTGGCAATTCTTTTTCTTCCTTTTACTGCTTGTCTTTTTATTAACCAAAGGGAGCCCGTGTCAGCATACGCAGGTACTTATGGAGTGCATATAAGCTCAAATATTAAGATGAATTCAGCTAAAGCGTTATTTTTATTGAATTCCCCCACCCCAGTAGTGACGAACAAGCAGATCAAATGGTCAACCGAGCTGGTTTTGCTTGGCTTGCATTTGGAAACAGTGGGCGCCAGCGTGTTAGGATGAACTTTAGCTTGACTATGCAGCGAGTTCAACTTTCCAAGTTAGTTTGCTTTTAACATATCCAGCTTAAACAACTAGTGACAAAGCAATCATCATCTATGATCCTTGAACGAACAAAAGATAGTGCACATCTATGAATGGTCGTTGCCTTCAAATCCAATTCACAAATAAACACTGCATGCACGAGAGCAGATCATTTCTTCTGTTGGGTCCTTGATACTCTTAGTTACCCGTCGATTTAAAAATTGCTATAAATGACCTTGGACAAAATGATGCAGCGACATGTTTGAACATACACTCGTACGACTCCGCACTTACTGAAAACTAATTCCACGCCCCTTCATTTTCTCTCTCTTTTTTCCCCCCGTTGTCTGTCCTTGGAAAACAAAATGAATAGTCGATACCGCGAAAGAAAGTATAACTCTACAAATAACGATCGACTTTTACGTGCTCTCTCACAACCTGTACAAGCATGGTAATCTTTTTTAGCTCGCAAAAGGGCGTGAAGACTTGTGACAATGGGGAAAAGCGATTCAGGAAAATAAAAATAACATAGAAATCGAATTCATTCCAGGGAAAAGAAATGGGCACCACTATCACGCGCGAAGAATATCAACACTTATAAATGGGTCAAATGTAAAAAAAGCACACACATGTCCTTACCTTTGTAAGATCGATTATGAAAAGCAGTGCAGCATTCATTGACGATTCTTTCGTATAGCGGACAAGCCGATCGTGTTTGAAGATGAGGAAGAATCCGAAGACGAAAAAGATCAGGATAAGGAAATGACAGAAGTTGTCAAGGTAAACCAAGATCACTATCTATAGACGCGTTTCACTTGCTTTTTTGGATTGTGTAGAGGTGCTAACGGTTGTTTTTGCGTTGAAAGGAACCTGAACAACCAGAAACTACAGCACAAAACGTGCCTACCACCACCGCGGATAATAACGCTGCCAGTGCCGATGCTACAGTTGCAACGGCTACAGCGACGACTACATCTTCGACAGCCACACCGATGGTTACGGACGAGAATGAGCAGCAAGTACAAGGGGCATCGAGCGCGTTGCCACCATCACTGCCTGCTTTGGGTCCTGCTAAAGCTGTAGAAGAAGAGGAGAGAACACATACGCCTAAACTAGACGATGTCTCTGATACGGAGTCGGATCAACAGCGTATGGAAAGAGATGATATGGACGATCCAGCGACGCATCCTGCATCCAACCCACACGTTCATCCACGTATTGCTGAAGAGGAAGCTGGTACTGCACCTGTAGGCGTTGTGCCTGAGGCTGTGGCTAAAGCCGTTTCTTCTTCTTCTCCCTCTTCTCCTGCTACTTCTGCTGCTGCCGTCGTTCCAGAGCCTGAGCAGTCGATGTCGACGCCAATGGAAGATGTCACACCAGTGCAACCACTGTCGGTCGCAGAACAAGCGCGGCAGGAGCAGACAGTTTTAACAGAGCAGCTAGTTACGGAACAAACAGCCGTACAGCCATTGCCACAACAAGAGGAAGAAGCACAACGCGTTGAGCAGCCGCCATCTTCATCGTCAGTACCATCACCACCATTAGCAACGTCACCATCATCATCAACACCACCACCATCAACACAAATCCAAGAACAAACACAGGAGGAAGCTGAGAAGCCACGCTCTCCTCCACAACAACAACAACAACAACAGCCAGTGGTGCAGGAACAGCAGGTGCAACCTGAACAACCATCCTTACCGCCAAAGCCGCCAGTGGAGGAGGAACAGAAGACTGAACAGCCCAAGCAATCCGAACAACCTCAGCAATCTCAAGCGCCTGAGCCGTCTACCCAAGCGGAACAGACACCGGAACCAATGCAGACGACAGAGTCGTCAAAGGCAGAGCCGCCCCAGATACAGGAGCCACAGTCTGCTGAAACAGACAATACAGACACTACTACTACTACTACTACTACCATCACCACCGCCGACATCACCGACACAAAAACATCCACTACTGATATGGAGACTGACGTTGCCGCGGATAAATAACTTAAAAAACAAAAATACTATATAAAGCGAGTGTCGTTGTGATATTTTTTCTGTCAATCTTTCTCCTCATCTTGTTTCTTTCTCACTTTCGTTTTTCTCTTATTGGGTTATGGACGTGTTCAATAAAAAGGCCATAAGACTGCTGATGCAATGGTACAACGAGATGTGTCGACGCTATCCACCGTGTCGATATGGTGTGTATATTTTATCGAGCCTTGTTATTCTTCCATTTGTCACCTTTGTTTCAGCACTAGCGTCATCACTTGCCGCATTCGTCATGATTGCTACAGCTGTAGTGGGATTCTGTCAGCTTGGTGCTTTGTTGGTGTTTTGTATCCTGCTGTTCCCGATCCTCCTTGTCGCGGTAATCGCAGCGGGTCTCACTGTCGTCGCGATAGCTTGTATTTGGACTCTTTTCTCCTCCTCTATCGGATAGAAAAGATAGCAGTAGCTTTCTCTTTTCTTGCATGTATGTTCATTGTATAATATCATCAATGGCATTATCCGATCGCCCCCTCCCTTCATATCCAAAGCTGTGTTACATAATTCATATGTGTAAAAATTTCGGACGAAGGAACGTGTCTATGTGGATAGTGTATCCTTTTATTGACTGATAAAATAGACGGCTCGTGATGGGGCTTACATTACGCGTTAGATTGAGGCCTGTGAATGACAAAGTATGCACGCACGCCGATAATGCTTACATTCAGAGCAGCAGTGGATTAACCACCCTGACGAGTAACATAGTGGGCAAGTTTTTCTGATTGTTATCGTACAAACCCATTTCTTTCTAAAAAGAGTATATTTAACTTGAAAGAAGGGCTCTTGACTATTGCTTCTATTATAAGCGCAAACCGATGACTGTCTAGTATGATGATCTCATAGCCCTATCACAACAGTTTATCGCTGGTCTCGTCAGACACGATCTCGTGACAGATAGTTTCCTGTAAAGCATTACACATGCAAGGGTTGAAGCGGCGATCTTAACACGGCCGCATATCAGCATGTCAAAAAACAAATGACTCTATTCATTGAGCATCTATGTATACATAGTGTATTCATAACCTATAGTGCTACCATATGTCATACCGGCTCAAATAGTTCCAAGTGGCGAGCGACAAACTGCTTGAGTGTGTTCCACGATCAACATTTGTATAATCGTTCGAACAAACGAAGGGAAAGGAACAGCTCATCCATAAAGGACGATTAAGATTGACGCGCTTGTTTGAAGCACTGCTGCAAGGCTGTTATTTTCAAATTCGAATTGCGGGAGGCAATCGAGTGTGATCAACGTCATTCGTTTTGAGTTGTTGTCATTCGGCAACGTTGATTCAGGTTGTGTCTCTTTCCACAAGCACTGACGACACCCACAACGACTGCTCTTTTTTTATATCGTTTTCTTTGTTTTTAAATTGTGTCCCCAATGACAATGCGCTTCTTTTGAAAAGAAAACACACGTCATTAGGAATGAAAGTGGCCCCCAAGGGCTTATTGGGAGAGATATGGTTTTTCACACACACAAACGCGTATCTGCTTGCTTCACTCTCGCCGGAGGGGGACCATCCAGGGGCTTTCGGGGTGCCCCAGAGTAGAGTAAAAAAGGAACTGTTAGTAGCCGGGTACTTTCTATCCTAATTACAAAAAGAGTGACAATGAACGATAAAGAAATAGGGAAAAAAGGCGGACAAGACAGGGTGAGGGAAAGGCAACGAGTCGGCGTAGTGGAGGTATAGTTTTTATTAGCAGTTGTTCTTCTAGCTACTTTGTGGGAGCCGGTTATACTCGCATATGCAAAAGGCGCAACACTGCACTGCCAATAGCCAACCCTACCAACCTGCTCCTTTTCTCTTCCCCCCAAAGAAGCAGTCGTAGGCGTCCCCTGAAAGGATGGGTGAGGGAATTTAGGGGAATGGGCGAGAGTGAGCAAGCAGCCCGTTTGTGTGTAAAAAAAAAGTTGGAGAGGAAAGGAAAGGAAAGGAAAAGAGTGAGATAAGAAAAAAAAAGGACCTGGATCAGTTCTTTTATCTTTGGTTTTTTAGCCTCCGCCTAGCCGCCGCAGCATGCTCATCACGTGACGTTCTCTTTCATAACGTAGTCATAAAGGGCAGTGACTTGCATGAGATGGTGATGGTTGGTGTTGCCTATGAGCACGGCTCACTGCGATACTGGAAGTGTGTGCACCGTATGCAGCTCATTGTTCTCTCTGGATACCTTTTAAGACACCGCCATGCAATGCGACGCGACCTTTGTGGCCTGTCAGCGTTCTACCAGCATATCCAAATGAGTGTTTACGCTGATGTCGATTTGTTTTATACAGACTGCTCGTACCGGAAATGATATCGATTGTGGTTCTGCCCTACTTGATCTTCGTTGTTGCGACAGTTCTGTACAATAAAGAGCCTGATTCTTTCATGATGTGATGACATGTATTTGTGGACTTTTTTTTTTTTTTGATCCGCTACTGTCCAAATTGTCACTGGCTGCATATCCAAGTCAATTGCGTACGTTGACAAGGCGGCCAATCTTGATTCAACATGTAATGGTTTATCAAATTACGACAGATTGCTGCTTGAAAGGTTTGACGGATGTTAGATCAAGGAATGCGCCATCTACACGAATACTTGATGTGAATATCTTACAGAGGCGTGTACCAGCAAATAATTTCTTTTTATAGAGTTGCCCAAATAGCTATTAAGTCTGCGTGGCTGGGAACGATGCGTGTCGGGTAAAGCGCCTAGCGAATAAACGCTCGATGGCATCGATAATGATTGCTGTCGATTTTTCCAAAAGAATTGCAGTATCGCATGTGATAGTCACGGGTGAAATTAACCAATATTTATGGATAGATACTGCTATGATAAGAAATAGGGGGTAATGTGGGAGATGGGAGGGAGCTACGATTATTACATCGCAATTGCTAGTCTAGCTTTTACAAACAAAAGGTCTTTTCTTGCTTTGGGGTGCGCGCATCGTGAGAGCCACCCAGTCAGCGATACAGTTCCCAACAGCTTCAACATTCGGATGTATGCTCATTAGCTATTTATCGTCGTTTTCAAACTATGAATCAAGTGATTTACATTGATTTCCCTACTGTATGCTATTGTGATGCGGTTGTCGTCGTCATTGCAAAGAGGAAACAATCGATGAAGATGTTCCATAAGTTGTATACTATCGTGGTCGTACATGATGAGAATCCAGCGCTTCAACTTGTGTCAATATCAGTCTATCCTCTTGCATTGTGCTGTCTTCAGCCGCGACAGAGAGTCTGTAAAAATGTCAATAACACCTGCTGATATCCGTGAGCTGATACTGGCTGACGTTGGTGAATCCATTATAAATGGATCTATTGGCAAATTTTGCTCTACCTTCTCGTTGATGTTCTTGATCGGTTTAGGCTTCGTTTGATGGTGCAGATTGAATGCATGCCATGTTTGTTCTGAACCGGGAAATAATGGATTGCTGTCCATTTATTGTCTATTTTGACAGCCTTTTTTAACAAGCGAGCTCTTGGTCAAGATTCTCTAACCTGACCGCCGTCAAAGACCTTCAGTGAGTTAAAGATCGTAATGTGAGACCACAGAATAAAAAACAATTAGTTGTCGCATTAGATGATTTGTGTGTGTATTAATCGCGCTTGTCACCAATTGACGTGTTCCTGAATTTACGCGCTTCCAAGGGGTCAATTTTATCGCCGCGCTTCTCTGCATAACTTTTTTTCTTTTAACATTGTACATACATTTAAAAACCTTGAACATTCTGTAAACTACTGCCACATAAAATATCGTATACTGTCAACGATACGAAAATGCATACGGAACCAAAAATTACTTTCAGCAATCTATATAAACATAATCAATCCATATTGTCACCCGATGCATCCTATGTCGCCAGTGTCGTAGATCACTACCGTCTCGTTATTCGCAGCCATACAATCGCGCTTACCATTTTACACGTGTTTGAATGCGTCGATCCGATCCAACAATTAAAATGGTCACCTAATTCGAAATATATAATGACAGTCAATCATGATCGATCGACTCTACAAGTTTGGTCGTTGATTGATGTTCATTGGCGAGCCAAGATCCGGGATGAATCGCTCAGGATGCATCGCGTGTGGTGGAGCGCTGATTCTTCAAGTATACTTTGCAGTGATGAGTTCAAGGTTTCTTCTTCTTCTATATGTACCATATTCCGGATCACTTTTGTGTATGCTTCTCTACTGATATATACAGGGATTATTTAGTTACGAATATCAGTATGGATGCTGGCCGACCAACAAGTCAGGTACATTCGTTATCCAAAATTTGTTGACAAAGGGTGTGAAATCAGTCCGGACAAGAATTATGTCGCGATCGTCGAGAATCGTCAGGGCAAGGATGGTATCGGTATCTATACGTGGTCTGCTAGCGCAATATTCAAGGTAGATAGAAGGAGAAAAACCACACAAAAGAAAAATGGGCTGAAACAGTTTTACATTTTTGTCGGTAATAAAATAGCATATTGTAACAGATACAAACGATTTGTGTAATATCCGATGGTCCCCCGATAGTCAGTTCTTGGCAGCATGGGACAATTGCTTATATGTAAGTCTTCAATGGGCTTAGTGATGATAATGGAGGAGGGGAAATTTGGGGAACTTTATACACAATAAGCCAAGATTGTTGGCTTAACTTTCCATGCAATTATTTAGTATAAATTGCTTGTGTATGGAGTGGACGGTTCTTTACACGCGTCATACCAGGCTTATGAACATGGTCTTGGCATCAAGAGTATTACATGGAGTCCGGATTCGAGTTTGTTGGCTGTGGGTAGCTACGATCAAAAGGTAATCAATCTTGACGATAATCATAATAGAGAAGGCCAAAAAGTAATAGTTTTGCCAAGTAACTAAGATAACTATAGGTACGCATATTACGGACAAGTGATTGGAAACCTATCATCGAGTTTTTCCATCCGTCGACATTGGATCAGAAGTTTCAAAAATCGGCAGTAAGTCAACACTGAGTTTGTAATGATGCGCAGATTCTTTTCTCTCTCACAGGATCATAACCTGATGCACACATATATAGCTAGTCTACCATCAAGATGGATCTGCCAAGTTTCCTGCAGTATCATGTAAGGCGCACCGATAATACAAACACATCTGTCTAATCTCTCTCTTTCTTTCTTTGATGTACACTAATTTTTTCTATGTATATCTGCACGTGCTGTTGCCGATAATCAGATCATCCTGTTTTAAAACGACCATTTAATATACCCATATTGCGACCCGAGTACAACACTCCTTATCCCAAGATTGGTGTTGGGTATTGTCAATTTAACGCGAACGGGAAGTTTCTATGTACTCGAGACGGTAAGGGAAAATCTTACAAGGCCGGGACACATACAAAAAAGAAAAAAGAATGGGGATGATTCATTCACGGTAATAGATAGCATGCCTACAGCATATTGGATTTGGGATATCAGCCAGGTAGAATGTTGCATGATCGTGCTACAACAGCAGGCGGTGAAGCAGCTGGCATGGCATCCACGCGATCCTTATACTTTGGCTGTCACCTGCGGCAACCAGCATGTTTATTTGACTACTCAACGTGGCTGTGACGGGTATATTGACGGCAACAACAACAACAACAACAACAACACTAACCATAATAATGATAATGACGGTGACGGTGGCGGCGGCGGCGACGACGATGACGACCACCGCAACCCATTTGAGCTGGGTCTGGTGCCCGTTCCTGCAGGTAAACAAAGATACTATCTCCTCTTTCTAACCCGGACCCCTCCCCGAAACTTCTTTTGGCTTTTCGCGGCTAATCCTTTTGGCCTTTGCTTTTTTTTTTATTACCACTACTACTACAGCTGACTTTGTCGTGCGAAAACTGAGTTGGAGCCAGGATGGCGAATCATTGTTATTGATAGATACTGGATTGTATTGTCTCGCCCAACGGCAAAAACAAAATGTATAACAAAAATGTATTTAAAAGATGGAAATGATATGAGAGGAGAGAGAGAGAGTGTGTGTGTGCGTGCTGTTGTTGCTGGTTTCTTTCAAAAATATATACTATACAATATACACGGTGGTTTTTGTTTCTTTGGGGATGGGGGCGATTGTTAGATGATGATGATGGGTGTGGTTTGTTGATGGATGCTGGTCGTTTGTCTTTTTTTTTCTTTTTTAGTTGTAGGTGGCCATGAAATCAGCATGGAACTTTCTCAAGTTGCCGCAAAAGTCGTCAAAGAGTTCCTCAGGTGGCAAGAAGGTGCTAAAACGAATGATGTTATTATGTCTTCTTTTACCTTTATTTCCCCCTTTTACCCCACACACCCGGCCAAATAACACTCACCTTCGGAAATGCCATGTGCCTTCCTTTTGTGCAAAACCCGAGCCTAAACAACAATAAATTTTTTTAGTGAGTCCGACTGATTGGCTGTGGTCGTGGGAAACATCTGTGAAGCTTTACCTGGAACAACGCAAACGCCTGTTGAAAATCCGCGGAAACGCGATATTAGATAATAAACGCATTGCTCTTAGTCTCTTCAAACTGCCAACTACAAGTAACTCGCCACACACTGTTTCTCAAACAAACACATACCAGTAGCCTCGAGCATTTGATCGGCATAAAAGGCATCGGGCAACACCTTCAATTCTGCAGCCTTGGCGATAGCCTTGGGGGGCAATCGGATGCGGGGGAACAGGTACATGGAACCCATGGCAGGCTGGCAGGTTACACCCTCCATGTCATTGAACACCGCCTCGAGCTTTTTAGAGCGGCGACGCAGGGATTCGTAGAGACCGGTCATTTCGTTCTGGTACAGTGCATAGGAAGGCTCGCCTTGCTTGGGTGGGGTCACCATCAGCGCGGTCATGATCTGGCCACTGACGTTGGGACACAGTGAGACCGAGGCCATCTTGTACAGTTGCGCCATGACACCACTGTCCAAGTTGCAGCATTCAAAGTAGCCGCCACGACGGCCACACTCGCCAATCATGCCTTTGGAGATGGAGTGGAACGAGACAAGCTCGATCGCGTCACGCTCCGGGTGTTCCTTTAAAGCCTTCTTGAAACTGACAAAGGGGCGCTGCTCGGGCTCGTAGATGTTGGTCTGGTACACTTCGTCAGCAAGCAAGACCAGACGTTCTGTGTGGCAAAAGGTCAAAATGTCTTGCATGTTTTGCGCGTCCAGGCACTGGCCAGTCGGGTTGCCAGGGTTGATGATGACGAGAGCGCGCACGTCGGTGCCCTTGCTGCGAGCTTCGTGCACAGTCTTGCGGATCTCTTCGACGTCCAGGCTCCAGCCAGAATCTTCGTCGAGGTAGTAAGGCACAGGCGTGGCACCCAGGAGTGTGAGCGTAGCAGAGTAGAGTGGATACTGAGGGATGGGGCTATAATAATTATAGACCGCATGCAACGTACACACGCATTAAGTTTGGGGTTTAATGCTTACTCAACTTTTCCATGCATTTGCGCGCACGCACACACCCAGAGAGTTTCTGCCTTTTTCCCACTTTTTTTGTTATATCTCCTTTTGGGTGGGAGATCTGACACTTTTTCCTTTCCTCCCTGTCCGATATAGATCGGGTGCACCGTAGCACACACACACACACACACACACACATCCATATAGAGAAAAAGAGAGAGAGAGAGAGAGAGACACAATTTAATACCAAGGATGATGCTTACATGAGAATGCCGGTCTTTTCGTTCTCTGTCAGTATGGAGAGGATGTTCTGGACACCAGCAGAGGCGCCCTGGGTCAAGTAGATGGAGTTGGGGTCGGCAGGATGGCCATCACGCTCGGCAATGAACGAAGCTACAGCCTTGCGGAGAGCAGGGACGCCCTGCGAGTGCGAGTAGGCGCCGATGCCAGCACCGATATCCTTGAGGATCTGACGGGCTCTGTCAATGGCATCCTTGGGATACAGTTGAGACACGATCGGCTCCTTGTCGGCTGTGAGGAGGTCGGGGTTTTCGCACAGAGACGCCACCTTTTATTTTATTTGGGTAATACCATCACACACACACACACACACACACGGAATAAAGGGGATAAGTTTTTTTTTTTTTTCGCTGTTTTGCTTTGTTGCACGACGGTATGTTTTGTTATGTAACATAAGGGTTATTGTGATGTGTCATCACAGACACAGACACACGAGCACACATACCTGACGGAAGAAGGTGATGGGCTTTTGGTTCAATTGCTGAGGGTTGCCGATGTTGCAGCTGACCACGGTATTGAAGGGAAACTTGCGGCCTTGGGCCAGCTCGTCACGGATTTCCTCTGCACGGATGGCAAGACGACCACGCACAGCATATTCCATGTCGCGGATGTGCGGGTTTATGTTGTCCACGGTCAAAACCTTTTTGTCGGCCATTTCTGTGTCTACGGTTTATGATTCTGTGTAGAGTAGTAGTAGTACAAGAAGAAAGAAGCAAAGCTCTTTATATAAAGAGGATGGGGGAGGAGGAGCCAAGAAAAAGAGAGGAGAATAGAAGGCAGGTTTGGGAGATCGACGTTTTATATACACTCCAGGTTTTTAAGCGTTGAAGCATGCGTGTGTGCACTGTGCGGGGATTTCTGACTCATGTGACTCTTTGTCGGCTTAAACTTTTTGGCAATGAGGGGACCGAGCAAAAAGAACGTAGCGCGGGGGGCTGCACCTTTTCGGACGACACAGGCATGATCATGCTGTACTGTACTGTGCACAGTGCACTCTTAACACTCTGTGCCGTGTACGATAAACATCTCATCTTTTTTTTTTGTTTCTGATGTTATGCAATCAATGTAACCTTCCTTTTCTCATCAATTGTCATTCGATGTAAACTAAAACATAGCGCAAAGGTACACACGCATAGAGCAAAGAGAACCGTTCCATCCATTTAGGGTTGAGGCCCATGGTTGCACCAATGATCTCATAACCAAGTAGCTGCAGTCCATTTTTGATCATCGCCAAAGCCCCCCCCCTCTCCCTCCCATCTCAGCTGTAATATGATAAGGCTCATCATACACATCAAAACAAGAACATTTACGCTGTATTCATGTATAATATATATATACTTATATAGTGTACTAGATATAGAAGGGCAAACTGCTAGGAGAAAGCGCGAGAGATAGAATGATGATGCTGAGGATGATAATGACAGATAATGTTTTGCTCAGAGCACAGATGAGACAAGTAGGAGAAAAAGGGGGGAGATAGAAAACCGCGACACCATGGACATGTGGAGCAAAAGAGACGATATAACGTAAAGAGGGGATACGATACTATTCCCCTCACCCTTGTAGACAGCGGCGTAGTTAGTAGTAGAGTGGGGACTCTTTTCAAGCTGCTGATGCACGATCTTCCACGGGTACACCACGACAGACAGGACACGAATTATGCGTCTCACACAACCATCTATCGACGCACTCTTGGTGAAAGACATGACAGCATTTGAGCACGCGGACCGACTGCTTGGGGACAAAGTCGTCGAGACACACAAGGCATCGGTCAGTGCCTCTCATGCCTCGCTTGGTATCATCTGACCATGGGATACTCGGCATGGCTGCGTCTATGGCTGCCTGGGTCGTTGTTACGGGTCGTGCGGGTCCGATGATGTTGGACAGCCACAAAAGATCTTCATACGTTGGATTGTCCGAAAGTGCAGTGTTTCCTGCTGGTTGACCACTGAGCACATAAATCACCCATTGATCTGACTCGCTACTATTACTATTACTACTGCCATGGCTGTTGTTGTTATTGTTGTTATTGTTGTTATTGTTGGATGAGGTAGTGGATGATGACGAAGGATTTGGTATTTGCTGATGTTGCTGTTGTGGTGACGATGAGGGTTGTTGTTGTTGTTGCTGTTGCGCAGCCGCAGCCGCAGCCGCAGCAGCTACTGTACGATTGGAATGGACGGAAAGTGGCATGGATTGTAAGGTGGCGAGGGAGGAGGATGTGGATACAGTGGATCGTGGCCGTCTTCTCGGCAATGGAAAGTCGCTGTGAGTTGCAAAAGCTGTCGGTGTTGTGGATGTACGATAGCCAACAATGACAATAGGCAGCACACGCTCTGAGCTGGCATCGTCCTGTTGTTGTTGTTGCTGTTGTGTTGCAGCATTGTTGTGTCGCAATGGTACCTGGACATGATAACGGAAAAAGGAAGGGCCTGCTCGATCACTGGTTGTACTCGTCGGACTCGAGTCTCCATGATGATGAATCGTGTTACTACTCATGCTGTTGCCACTACTGCTACTGCTGCTGTCACTGGTGTTATTATTAGCATGAGCGGTGGTAAAAGAGGTATTGTTGTTGTTGTTGTTTTCTTGTCGAGGAAGGGAGGAAAAGACGGCTGAGGCAATAATATCAGAAAGCATGTGACGCAAATCGGAGGTGTGCGACGATGTTGTTGAAGCGGCTGAACTTGTTGTCGAAGGTGTAATAAACTGCGAGTCGAGATTGAGGAATGGAATGGGTGGAGGTGGACCTGTAGCTGCAGCAGCTGCCCGAGTGGCTGCGGCAGTGGCATGGCGAACTGACGATGTCGTCGATGCCGACGACGATGCAGGATTATGTCTTCGACTACTACGGTGGTGGTGGTGGTGGTGGTGGTGGTGAAGGTTGCCACCGCTATCGACAATGCCGTCTGCTATAGAAACTCGACCCGTACCAGCACCACCGGTGACAGAATTACTACCACTACCACCGGCAGTGGTAGAAGTAGCATAAGCATGAGCACTGGTGGCAGCATGACGACGACGTTGTCGACCGAAAGGTCGTGATGGGTGATTATGCAAACGATTCGATATCCGCCTTAAAAACGAAATGGGACGTTGTCGAGAATGGAAGGACGAGGAATGGAGGGTTCGAGTAGACGCATTGTCTTGTCGAATGGATGAGGGTGTTTGACCCATATAGATTTAAGAGAAGTATTTTTACTTTCTTTTTTTTTTCTGTGAGTGAGGTGTTGCTTATATGTGTGTGTTTTGTTGCGTATGGTAAATTGTAAAAAAAGATAGGTTTATCCTCTTTTCTTTTTTTATATATAAAGGGAAAAAAAAAGAAAGAATTTTGTTGGACTCTTTCTGTTTTTTTTTGTGTCTAGCTGCAAAGAACACTTGTGACACATGGTACGCTAGCAAACAAGGTCACTTGCTGTATTCTTGAAAGAGGATGTTACCATATAGAGTGTTGTTAGTGATGGATGGGCGCGGCAAGGACATTGAGTTGTTTTGGCGAATAATCACCACACAGCCGTTATTGGGATATGTGCCATCATCATGGTCCTTGGAAGGGCATTCCGTTTCCGCTCATATTATTTAAGCTCTGCATACATATATATATATATATTGTCATCGTCCTGAGTATCATTGTGGCAAGAAGAAGCTTCTTTATGGGATACTTTAGTACAACAGCACACTAGGCCGCTACTGTGTCTATCATTTTAAGGTAATAAGCTCAAGACGCTTGTGTAAATCTAACAGGTGTTTCTGTGGCTGCTGCTGCTGCTGCTGTTGTCGTTGGGAATATACTTGGATATGTGGAAATCATCATCATCCCCGCGCCATACGTTTGCTGAGGTTGTACTATTATGTCATGAGGAGAGGTGCTACAGTCAATCCTGCGAGCTTCATATCGGAGTTTTCAGTTTGTGCGAACCCTTGCATACATCGATCTCAGGAAAACCGTATATTAACAGGCACATGTTGCCTTGCTTTGGTCGAAACTGAATGCATTGTACATAGGGTATACATTGGGTCTATTTATTGGTAAATTCTTCTTTGGTAAGTCGACCACTACTAGCAGAACAGAGATCTACAGGAAAGTTCATTTAGGGTGTAAACCAGTAACTTTCCCCTTGATATTTCCAAAGTGCACCTCATCTATCATAGTATAGTTGGGAAAGCTGTTTGTGGCAATGGAAATAGACATGTACTCTGTCTTCAGGTACAAGACCCCGTGTGTACGTTGTAACAGATGATAAGTATTTAGGTTCAACCATCATTTATACAGGCCCACAAAACAGCAGCTCATCCAATATCCTTAGTTTTTCCCCTTTTACCCTCCCCTGTAGCTAGTGGTCATCGTTTAGGAATTTTTCCAAAAAAGTAAAAGCAAATTGTACACCTAGTAAAAGCTAATAGGCTTGTTGTTGTAATTGTTTTTTTTATTTGAATCACTGTTGCTGTTGCTGCCTGTTGTTACTGTATTGATCGATCATTGGTATATATGTATATGATGATGATGATGATAATGTTTGCCTTTCACTTTTGCAGCCACCAACGTCGTCGTTATCTTTGTCTCCACCAGCAAAAGAAGATAATATATGTTAGGGTGCTCCAGTAAGAGGGAACAGCCGAGCTTGTATGGATGATACATTTGGTACCCCGAGCTCGGTCTAATATGTGTGCATTGGTAAGTATGAAAGTGCTACATGTCATTTGCCTCCTCCCCTCCCGTCACATATCCTATTGATGAGAGTAGTATTGATACTGATCGTAGAGATATAGTTGCAGGGTACCGGGGGGGGGGAGGGTACTTCTTCTTCGTCCATTTTGTTACTAGCCCCCTCCACGTCTCCTAGAAACTCCCATTTCAATTACCTGGACTTGGGATAGTTCCGGTGAGGTTGAAGAGAGCTGCTGTTGGTCCCCTTGTGTTGCTTCTGAACAATGATAAAACCCGCATTTCTGGTTTTTTTTTTCCCCAAATAATACACAACAACACGCATATATTTAATCATTCCCGAATATGATATATATATATATATGTGGGGCCATTCCAAGAAAAAGATTTACCTCTGACCAGGGCGACCGACACGCCCAACAAAAACAAAATCCACACAATGAGCAATCCACTTTGTTGCATCCTTCGTCACGGTTAATCATGATTGAGCAATTGGGACACCGCCGACTAAAAGTAAGATCATGTGAGTGTCATAGAGCCATACACTATGCGCATGTGCTACACTTTTATATATACCTGTTTTGGAGCTGCCACCGTAGTGTTTCAATGGCCTCGGATGGCAAACCTCGGTGATTGCTGTCCACAGTCCTTTGCATCGACTCTTCACACGTTGCATTTGGATGTTCCCGTTGTCCGCATTGTAAGCAGAATGTCACGAGGCATGCAGGGCTATGATAACAGATCGATGAAAAGCTTATATTTTTAGTTTCCAAGGTAATTTTTTTTTCCTTTTTGTCATGATAGTACAAATATATACATATTATATATATGCAATCGATGATCACTCTCTTTGTGTTTTTGGCGCGCTGTATGCAAATGAAAGAGAGGAATGGTTTACCAGTCAATGATGGGGAAAAATGAAATGTGTTGGAACTGAAGTTTTCGCCAGGTGTCAGGCTTCATATCAAACAGAAGCATGCTTTTTGAAATGGCTAGTGCGGCAGAAGTAGCAGTGGTGGCTGTTATAGGGGTGGCGAGAGGCCTGTGTGACCATGGATGAACCGCGGTTGCCGAGCTTGGTGATAGTATTGTTGTTTGTGCTTGTGATTCTGTTGTCGCTGGTGCTACTGCTGCTGGTGCTGCTGTAATAGCATGCCGATGATGATGATGGCTACGTTCGAACGCCCTGACAGCAAGTAGGGTCCGACGGTAAAGAGCTGGTAAGCTGGAACTGTTCCATTCTTGTCGTTCAATGATGGGCAAAAGCTTCCGTATCGCAACATGCTCCGGGTCATTCGTCATGTTGTTGTGTTGTTGTTGTTGTTGTTGTTGTTGTTGTTGCTCTTCATGTGAGCATTCGCGTAACAGGTCTTTGAGCATATCGTAGACTCGCTTAGGTCCCCTGTTTGTTAAGTTGGTCAAAGTAAAAATGGGATTGAGTTCAATATGCTTTCTTTCATGACTCGTATTTCGGTACCCTCAACTCCAACCTTCATCCTAGCGATCCTCTCTTTTTTCCGTGTTTGCCCAATTCAGCCGCTCCACTCTCTCCCCACACATGCCAAATAAAAAGAAAAAGAATTACCCATGATGGCGATCTCGATAATCAACTGGAGTCACCTCGGTCTCGCAACTGGGACAACACCTTGAAAAACTGCGATAAGGCTGGTTGTATCGGTTGTAAAGCTCAACGACGCTGGAGGGCACGAATTTGCTCCATTCGCTTTGCGGGATATGGTCCTGGCAAACGGGGCACCTGATCTTGGTCACACTCAGGCCCCATGATGTAGTAACGACTTCGGTCACATATCTGTTATAATCATCATCCAGTGCATTTAATGGTTTTTGTTATTGGTTATGACTGAGAAAAGGAGTCTATGGAGTCGTTACTGACCTCCGGAAGCAATCAAGACAATACTGGTCTCGACAGTACTCTAAACAAAGGTCGAGCTGTGCATCAAAACAAATTGAGCAACGCTGTAACCAGTAATCCATATCTTGATGATCTTCCTCTTCCTCCTCGTCTTCCTCTTCATCCATGATAGACGAGGAATGGTGTGCTGGTGACGATGAAGATGAGGATGAAGAAGGTGGTGATGCTGCTGCGACAGTCGTTGTGTGTCGGAGCTCGTGTGGCGATGCTGTCGCTGCTGCTGCCGCTGTTGATGGGCTGTCAACATCCGTCCCGGTAGCAGCAGCTCCAGCGGTAGTGTTCATGGTAGTAGTAGTAGGATGATCGTTATGCACCATTTGATTGATGATGATGCTGAGCAAGCTTGATACCAACGTGGTGAATATGAAGACGGGAAAGAGAAATAGGCAAACGACAGCAACGACGATGCGGTGGCTGAGGAACAGAGGAACGATACAGGATCGTGCAAGACGGAGAGGGTAAAGAAGTACCGAATAAAGGCCTAGAACAGATTCAAAGACTGAGCCGGTGTTGTTGTCGTTTCGCTTTGGAGTATGTTGATGATGATGATGATGATGATGATGACGGTGTTCTTGTTCTTCTTGTAGTTGCTGCAGTTGATTGTGTGGACGATGATAGAGCTGATGATGATGATGATGTTGATGATCGGCAGTGGTACTAGTGTCGTTGTCGTTGTTGTTCAAAAGGGGCATAATAGTAAAAAAAAACAAGTTTTTGCTATGCTGTTGGATAAAGGAAAGAAAGAAAAGAAGAAGAACAAGAAGCGTATATTTTCAAATACACATACGCTGACGATTTATTCTTTATTTCTGAGTGTGAGTGTGTGAGTGTAGTGTGTGTGCAAGTGTTGTAGTTGCCGTTTTTTTCCTGGGTTCGTCGTCGAGAGCGATGAGAGAAAAAGAGCAAAAGGGTGGATGCTGCTTTGGAGGAGGTGGAAAGAAAGAAGAGAAAGAAGCGAAAGAGAAGGGAAGAAAAAGAATTATGCGTGTGCGTTAAAGCGTCGTTGTCCTTTTTATATACGAATGCAAGGAGGGAGGGGAAAGAAGAACAAGCGATTGAAAGGGCCTGCGCCGCTTTTTTATAAAGGCACGGTTGGTGTGTGCCGTCCTAGCCAAAAAGGAAAGTTGCTTCATCCTAGCACACACACACACGCTTGCTTCTCTGGCTCCAAGGTACCACCACGTCATTCCAGACACTCGATCCATGTTGTAAAAGTGTATCTCGGGACAGACACAGAGTTGTTTTTGATTGCCTTCTTCCTTCTATGCCGTCGAGTGCACTGCATAAGGTGCAGCACTACCAGCAGCAGCGTACTTTCTTAACCATATCGTCCTTTGCCTTTTTGAGCCTTCTTGTATCCTGCATAAATCTCGTAGGAGTCGCTTGTTGCGACTAAACCGGAAAAGGCTGCGCCGTCGTTATCTACTGTGATTCACCATCCTCCAAGACTTTACTCACGCTGCGTCAATAACCGCTTTCTCTTCTTTATTTCTACGTATATACACACACACACACACACAAGTGACCATGACTGCTGGTGGGGGGGGGTGGGCGGCGCTTGTTGGATTACAAATCTCTGTGTCCATAGTGTGAGTATGCTCTCCTTCTCCTCGTCTGACTCGCTTTCCTCCTCCTTCCTTCCTTAGTCGTTGGGTTGTAACCGCGTTTCAATAAATCCTTTGTTGCCCTGAGCACAGGCTCACTCCCTAACATAAATCAATCCACTGTGGCTAGATGACTTGCGCGCGCGCGAGACGTCAGGTCAGCTTGGGGGCCAAAATGCAAACAACCTTATTGCGCCGCAGTTCGGACCTAATTTTGCCGGGTGCGCGTGCATTAAAAAACTGGTTGACTCATGGGTCGGTGCCGCAGGCTTTTTGGGATATTTAAATAGCGGGGGACACACACTTTGAGTCTGCATATTATGATTCATGCACAACTCACCCATGTCTACTATGAGAACACCATTAGCTACTTGTAATTCGCATGAACTGAACATGGAAGAAGAACATGGCTGCATCGCGTCACAGCAGTTAATATCTGTACATCATACCCTTGTCGCTCACAAGCGTATAGACTGGTTTCTTTTTCTTGAGCTCATGAGCGACTAGCATCTGTAACTGCGTTGATCCCACCCTCAAGACAACGATAGGTTCTACAACGTTTTTTGTGCTATCATCATAACGAACATCACAGCAACAGAATGTGTCGCGTTTGTAACTTGTAAAATCATCATATGCCTTCTTGTTGCTAAAGCCAATACCACATTTTCACTGCAACAAAACTAACAACCTCATCGCAGCAGAGTTTATATTTCTCCACGTTCGTTGGTTTACATCTGCACAACAGGCATTCATCACTGCTATTGTATCTGCAACGCATCGAACAACAAACATAAGAAGCACACATATCTCGAGCGATTCCTATGGGCTACGTAGTTGAAAAGTCCTGACCATACGTTTTAGCTATTGTCAATGTCGTTTGCAAACAACAATGATGTCGTCGTATTCTTTTTCTTGCATTTCAAGTGATGATCAATCTATCACACCAGTAGGTAATAAAGGATGAGCAACTTTTATTGAAATTCATGTAGGCTGTGAGGAGTTATTTCTCTTCCCTGTCGTTCTCGCCTCTTTTTCTACTACACGTTATTTACTTTACATCTTTTTGGGCCTCCAGACATAGCTACCGAGCCCCTAATTTTCTTCTTGTGGTCCTTTCTTGAATTTGTATTACAGTCCATTTGTACTTGAGACATTACACACATTCCAGGTGATATCCAGCATGACAGCTTCTTCCAACCTAGCAGCAATATTGGTCCTCCTTGGGCGAGAAGAAGGAAGGAAGGCAAGACAAGAAGGGCAACAGCCACTTCCAAGAAGACGGCCAAGGTCATCAGGAGGATCGTGTTTTAGCATGTTGAAGGGGGGATGAATGTGTAAAGGTCGAACCTGTGTGTATGCCACAAGCTTCCAAACCGACGTGATGGTAGTCATAGTTGGTGCTGAGTGCCCTTTAATCTCATGCAGCCAAAGAACAGCACCAGACCACAGAAGAGAATTTCACCGCTCAGAATACTTGGTCAGTGCAAAGTTTGCCACAAAAGCACTTGGGTTAAGCCAACCAACAGCATCAGGGAGTCACATCAACTCCCCTCGGATGACTTTGTCTGCCATGACAGAGTCTGAAGATGTCGATATCACCTAGCGATCCGTAAGACGAGACAGCGCTTTTGCTTGTGCTTCTCGTGTTTTGAGTGCTAGTAGTGATGGCATCCAAAGCGCGGTTGTATATATACCCTTTAGGAGCCCTACATGTAGTTGACGTTGACTTGGTACTCCTTGATTGTGATTGTGTATGAGCTGCCTATGACTGAAACAGAGAATCACATTGAGCAAAAGCTTCAATACCTTCTTGAGGCTACTGTGTGCCAAGTTTTGAAGATACCAAGAGCAGCTGGTGGGTTCAGAAACAGTGTTCATTTCGGCATACTCGTTTCTATTGAATATAAAGCTAAGCTTTATAAAATTGAATCGAACGTACCAGCGCGGACGACGAGCCTCTCACACGAGAGACGTTTCTGTCCAACCTTGGTGCTCTGCTATAATCTACAAGCTCACGGTGATCGACATAAAGTCGAAAGAAACAACCCTGTTTGGAGCCGCTTAGAGAGGATCAAGGGCGTCACTGCAAAATATCCCAAGTCAGGTGAATTGCGGGAGAGAGAAATACGCGCTGTTGTCCTTTCCCTTTTCTTTTTTTTTTCCCCATAAAACTCTATTCTACGCTATTACGATATGAGCACACCCATAATCAATGACAACAGCGACAACAACAACAACAGCAGCAGTAGCAGTGGTAATACTACAAATGCCCCTCCTAGCAAAGAAGCGCCCGATTTCTCGTCCGATCCACGCATGAAGCTCGATAAGCAGACCAATAAATGGTCCTACGTCGGTGACGATGGAATCGAGTACGAATACGACACTGCAGTTGGAGGCTGGTTTCCGATGGTAACAAAGAATGATTATGCATACTTCAATTTCTTTAATGACACAACGATCCATTGAGTTTTACAAGACTTAAATTGCTGTTATTCAAAAACTCGTTGTAAATAGCACACGGATGCATTGATTGAGCAGCAGCAGTCAGCTTATGCCGTCGCAGGTGTTGATGAATCGGTAAGAATAGATTATGTTTAGCCCTTGGACTTGTATCTGATAAACTCTCTCTCTTGTTTAAATTTTTTTTCAGGAGCCAGCAGTACTTCCACGCTCGAAAAAGAAGCGAGTGTATACCTATGACGATGTATGAAGAAGAAAAAAGAGAAGGAGGTGTCCGAATGCAGCAGATCAAAATAGCGAGAGAGAGAGAGAGAAACTGAAAGATATGAACTGAATTAGAATGACAAGAAGGACCCGAAAAAACAAAAACGCGAACTTAAAAACACGTCAGTCTATGTGACAGGCGTTCCCACAGACGCAACGATGGACGAGATGAAACAAGTGTTTAGTAAATGTGGGGTTATTATGGAAGATCTCGAATCTGGACTACCCAAAATCAAAATATATCAAGATCAGGAAGGCAAGCCCAAAGGAGATGCACTTGTCACCTATTTCAAAGAAGAGTCTGTGCCTTTAGCTATCAATCTGTTGGATGAATCTGAGCTACGACTGGGTGATCCAGCGACGCTTATTAAAGTGCAGCAGGTAAGCAAAAGGGGAGCTTGGTACTTTTTTGTACCCTATGGAGGGACCGGATATACAGCAATGTGGATGATTATGTAGCTGAATGATGGCCGGAATGCATCTGGTATGAATTATTAGGCTCAATTCAAAGAAAAGGAACCATCTGCTGACAAGAAAAAAAACCAGTCGACCGGTAAAAACAAGAACAAGAAGCGATTGCATCAGCTGAACAGGTATGAGCTTATTAACTCACATAGCTACTATGGAGTATATCTTTTAATATACATGAATGATTATAATTCTACCAATCATCTAGAAAATTGGATTGGGTAGAGGAAGAAGGTGGAAAGAAGGCAGAAAAGTTCAACAAAATTGTCATTTTGAAGAACATGTATACTCATGAAGAATTGGATGTAAGAACCTTCTCAATATACACATGCTGCGATAAGGAGAGGCTTGACATTTATTCTGCTTAAATAGGAGGATCCAACATTATTGCTCGAGCTCAAGGAAGATGTGCGTGAAGAATGCGAAAAGTTAGGCGAGGTCACCAATGTCATTTTATATGATGTAAGTTCCTATGTTTATCCGAACTACCAATGAGAGACAAATGGTAACAAGAGAAAGAGAGGTGGGGGCAGCAGCCGGAAGTGAACCTTAAATATTGACTGACATTGCTAAATTTATTATAGAAATCGCCAGGAGGTGTCATTTCGGTCCGGTTTATGGAGCAAAAGTCGGCCGAAGCCTGTGTTTTGGTAAAGTGTTTTCTCTTTCTTTAAGCTTAGTAACCCCCCTGGTTTTCTTTTACTGTGATAAACTGTATTGATTTCGGGACTCTTTATATAGCTCATGAACAACCGCTATTTCGCTGGACGACAAATCAGTGCAGAAATCTATGACGGTAAAGAAAGATACGAAAAGAGTGGCGCTCGAGGAGCCGCTGGAGACGAAGAGGAGGACGAGGCAGAAAAGGCACGATTGGAGCGATACGCCAAGTGGTTGGAACAAGGAGGATCCGACGACGAAGAACCTAGTAGTGCTAGTAGCAATAATAAGGAAAAATCAGCAGCAGCATGACAACAACAACAACAACAACAGCAACAACGCATCTTCATCCAATAAACAATACACAGAGCAAGAAAAAAAAACGATCTGTTAGAATGAATAGGCTGTCGTTGTCGTCGCCGCTTTACATGCATCAGTTGCACACAGACAGAACGCGTGGGTACACAGGGACACGCATGTTACACAAGTATGGCAAAAAAGGAGTGTGTAATCCTTGCCAACAAGCAGACCTGCTTTTTTTTTTAATTACATATGCCTACCAACAACCACACCGTAACGTACTGCTACTTAACACCTTTAGCTACCACCCTCCCCCTTTTTTTTTCTTCTCTTTCCTCTTTTCACGATACGACGCTTTAATATTTTCCAAAAACGATGCCTCACACCAATGCCTTTCAACCCAAAAATGCAAGAATTGTCAATACTTTTGACGATGATGACGATCTGGACGACGCAAGCCTGTTTGGCTCCTCTATCACATCGTCTACTAAAAAGACGAGTGGCACACAGGCTCTGGCTGATTTCTTAAACACAACCAGTCCAGAAGAGTTTCAGCGACCCAGTCCTGCATCGACTGTAAGCACACAAAGCAGCAATAGTGGCAGTAGTACGTTCTTTAGGCTGCGCAAGAACAAGCGTCCTGCACCATCGATTTCCTCTACAGCATCTACACCGGTCCCGACACCCACGACTACCATATCCACAGTGGGAGATATGCCATCTGTGGCCCCAAAACAAAAGCAGCAGCAGCAGCAGCAGCAGGATAAGCGCCAACAGCAACGTAATAAGAAGAATATAGAGATTGTACCTTCAGGATCTGCCAATCGGCAGCAGCAGCAGCAGCAGCAGCAGCAACAGCAACAGCAACAGCAACAGTCGTCCAAGCAACAAGTGGCGCTTCAACAACGACCCTTACCACGTGTACCAACCAGCCCTACGGCATCGCTTTCTTCAAGCCATCAGTCATTGGCTTTACGAGAACCACAAAGCCCAATTCTGCCAAACAGGCGGCGCGAATCGAGTCTTTATAGTGGTAGCCTGCGTAACAATACCACGCGTGGAAAGTTTAGTGACTATGGATCAAGCGGACATCGTAGTACACATACGGGCCGACGAATGATTATGGATTTATTCGATAATACGACCACTACTGCTGCATCCACCACAAGCAACAACAACAATAACAACAGTAGTGATATCAACAGTAATACCAACAGCACACGACCCAAAGAAATCGATCATATTGATGCAGTTCTCCTACAGCGACTGGAGCAGTTTATTCATAATCCAGAAACACGACAAGATTTTGCTGATAATGTGGCCAGTACTGAAAAGACCAGCCATGCTGACGATTCAAAAGGATTAGGAGGAGAGGAACTCTATTTATTACCTACCACAGCCGCTGCATCATCATCATCATCATCATCATCAAAACGGCGTCACTGTCAAACGCAAACGACACAAACCTGTATCACACAAGACAATACTATTCGACAGCAGCACCATCGAAGCAGTAGTAATGGCAGTAGCATCGCGCCTGGAACGACAGTAGAGCATCTGGAACGCCAGATTGCGGAAGAAAAGAGACGACAAAAGCGATTAGAAGCTGCCATGGTGGAATCATCCGATCAATTCCAAGTGCTCAGTGGATTGGCATACATGAAGCTTCGTGAGCTGTGGGAAGAACGAGTGCGTTGGGAAGAGGCTTATTTTGCATTGAGTGAGCGATTGGATGAGGTACGGCAACAGCACGGCGGCGGGTCGTCTGACCATCATGGTGGTGAACCGGTAGTGGTTAATAGTACTACTGCATCACAGCCCATCATGGAAAGCGTTCCTTAAAAAAGATGTGTGTAAATATACTACTACTACTGCTTCCCCGCCTCTCCTTCTTTACTGTCCCTCTTTGCGTGTGTCAATAAAAAGAAACCATTTCTGGACAACTCGGCTCATTACTGATCGCCACTCCCTCTTGTCTTCCTGTTTGAAAAAATGGACAAAGAAGCCTCAGCTATTTGCTGCCGGCAACCATCATTGTGCATATTGTATCCTTTATAAAACTGGTGAGTGTAAGAGTAATGATAGAACGGCTTGTAGAAGGTCCAACCTATACCACTGAGCCGTACGTGACAATGAACTTATGCTTAAAGTGCAAAAACAAGGCGCTGGGTGCTCCCATGTCCCCTCCCACTGATGATGTTGACGATGGCGCGGATCCCTCTATTTCTGCATCACTCCGACACAAGCAGCTACATATCAAGTCGGCAGTGCTTTTCTTTCTTCGGACCCTCTCCTCTTTTTTATACACTAGCACATTTACCATGTTGATCAAAGTAAAGGTATGAGGAACCATTCTCTTTGATGATAGAGTTTGAGTTTTTTTGGTAGTCATTGGGGCTGCTGGATTACTGATCGCGGTCTCTCCTATTTGCTCTACCATCTAAAAAGACTTTAACCGGAAAAGAGGTAAACCATCTTTATACCATTTGCTTACAAATTAAAAGTATTACAGTTGTATGGAAGGGAAAAATAACAGCTTATTCTCTTTTCTTTTTTTTTTCAACACATAATTATTTAAAAGATTGAAATTGATATTGAACCCAATGACAAGATCTCTCGTATTAAAGAACGCGTCGAAGAAAAAGAAGGCATTCCTCCTCCGCAGCAACGTTTGATTTTCGGTGGAAAGCAAATGTAATTATGGGTGTGCAAAAGAAGCGAATTAGATTACTTGATAGAAGGGAAGAAGAGATAGCGTGAAAGGGCGATATGTATATGGTTATTAGAGCTAGTACTGACGTTATCATGCCTGTGTGATATGTTTGAAACCTTTCAGGGCTGACGAGATGACAGCTAGCGAATACTCGATTACGGGTGGTTCCGTGCTCCATTTAGTGCTGGCTTTGCGTGGTGGTTGTGCTTAAATAAACGAATCAAGCTTATTAGAAGAAGGAAGGATATTGTCGCTGCAGTTCGTTTCTTTCCCCTTTCACATCCACGCCCTTTGTGTGTCCGTATTCTACAATCACTTACTATATCATCATTACACACACACACGTTCACTCACTCATGGACAATCGCTCATTATCACACGCGCGTACATCGCTATACTTTCTTTTCTCGCGTACCATACATAAAACTTTTTCTCCTTATTTTTTATATTCTAATAGCGAGCTAACACATATGAGAACAGTGGGGTTGTGAGTTGTTTAGGAGGAAAAAGAGATCTTTGTGATCACTTTGCTGTTACAAGCTATTGATCGGAAAGAAGATAATGCGGTGAACTATTGCTTTTGCTACTTGGTTTTACTGGCACCTGTCTTTTCAAAGACCTCTCCAAGGACAACCCACCATTCTCATAATCATATATAATTATTTAGAAACTTAAAGTACTACTTTTTTTTATATTGAAAACCACTAAATATCGGTAAAATAATACTATTTGTTGTATATGGCAGCAATTCTTTCAGGTGCCTCCTCAAGAACAACCATCATGCCCATAATCATATGGAATGAATTATGGCAATGTACGGGAACTGGTAAAGAGAAAGAACTGTTATCAGTAACTAAAGCCATATGTAAAGATATTCAAGGATGCTAGGGAGAAACGAATAAAACTTACAAATGCCCGGATTATCCGCTACAATACGGATTTTGGCCCATCCACAATCGACTGGTTCGTCTGGTCCGGCAGCTGCTGTCACTTCAGGGTCCTCGACTGGATAAACCGAGACAACATCTCGTAAGAATGGATGGGGTACATTACGCCAACCGCCATGCTTGCCATGTTGGTAGCGTCCGGGACCAAAAGCGATTTCGCAAAAAGAATGGCCGTGAGTGTGCCATGGATGCATACGGCATGGTGCATCAGGAGCACGTGTCGATTGTAGCACAATATCTACCACCTCCATATATTCTAATGGGTACGTGCATAGATCTGGATCATAGCCGTCCTTGTCCGGTCGAGGCAAAGGACGCTCGCCTTCCAGAATCGAGGTGAGAATCGTTTTCTCAGGATCGATAAATGTGACATTGTTAACGAACCACCGTGTCTCACCGGTTGACAGTTCATCTGCTACGATTCTCAGAGTGATTGTTCGAGAAGCTTCTTGTTTGTAAAGAGCGGAAGAAGTTTCGACATCGACGGGTGCAATATCACGCCAGTACCAATAAGGGGCATCCTCGGGGAAGTCAAAGAGGTTTTCCGGTATGGCGAACGTGGTAGCTTCTTTTTCTATATCTTGGCCATGCACACCGCGGGTGTATCGCAAAACGGCGAGTCCATTTGATGCAGGATCGAGCTCAGGTTCGATCCAGCTGCGAATTGTGTTGATCGCGTAGTCACCTTCACGGTCGGATGGGCTCAACAAGACGGAGAAGCGTTGTCCAGGTGATATTTCGAGATAGGGTACCGTGAAGGGTTGAACAAGTGTGCCATCGACTTCAATAATAGTCAGCTCGTGGTCAGCAATAGCGAAGCTGATGGTTCGGTAGTCATTTGCGCCGATAACACGAATGCGATATGTTTTTTCAGGGTCGACAGAAATCACCGAATAGCCTTGGCATTCAGGACCGTAAGCGTTAATCTCTGGCTCATAAATGGTGCGGCCATTGATCAAGATACTTTGCGATTCGGGAATGTCTGTAAAGTTTGGACCAAGGGTAAAAACATTGAGAGATTCAGCAGTCTGTTGCCACCATTCGCTAAGAATGATAGTTCGTTCGTCGTCATAGTGATAGGGCCCGGCCACCAATTCTTTACAGTCCTCGTCGTCGCCGCCAAGAAGTCCAAGGAGCTTCTTATGGCACTTGTGCTTTGCTTCTGGATCGGCTTCCTCAGATTCATAGACGATCAAGGCACCAAACACGGTCTCAGAATGCAATCCCACATGTGCATGATAAAAGTAGGTGCCTGCCTGGTCGATAACCTGGAACTCGTGTAGAAAACTTTGCTGAGGCTTGATTGGATCTTGACTCAGGAACGGGACACCTTTTGTATTTCCATAGGGTTAGTTAATAAAGTAAATAACATGACAAGAACAACCAAGAGATGCGTAGATTTTTGCCATGAGAACATAAAAAAAAGAAAACAGGCATACCATCAGCATCCGGTGATCCGAGTTGACGGATACCGTGGCAATGAATTGTGATATCATTTGAATAACCACCATTAGCGCTCGCTGCCGAAGACACCGGATGTCTAGTTGCGTCAGTATAATCTGGCAACAAGTTGCGAACAAGCATCTTGACGCGATCGCCTGTCGTCACTGCAATCGTTGGGCCGACGAGTTGGCCATTTACCACGAGTTTGGAAGTGACAGTACCAGAGCAGTCTGAATCAATGAGCTCACGAGTAATGTTGAGCTCAAAGTAGTGGGTTTTGGAATTGTGGTTTAGAAGACCAGCTTGAACCACAACAGATACCACTGCAAAAAGGTATACAAGGTGGCAGAAGTGAAGAGACAAAGCCATCGAGGGAACGAGGAACGAGGGTAAGGGGGGCGTGGAAAAGGTGAACAGACTTTAGGTATTGTCTGATTCGATGTGATAAGAAGAAAAGAAAGGAAGATTATTATCCTCACTATTGACGGTGACTATTTATATACCAGGTAGTTTTAGTTGTGTGATCTTTGATAATAATTCAGCAAGTCAGTGCCCCAACATTAGACCTTTGCATGACAACCTTTTCATTGTCTCAAAATACGCGTCTATATTTGCTTCAAGGATAATCACGTCTCTGTACATATATACTCGCTGTGCTTGGATTTTCGCTCCAATCCTTATGCTCTCTCTACTTTGTGAATGAACCTAACACTTTATTATCCAGAAAAGTATTAGATAATACGTTTCTAAAATATTTAAAAGTGATCGCCGTATCTATTCCTAGTCGCGTGCAGTGATGTCAAGTTAGAACGTTGTTCCGATATATTCTAATCCGTTGTATTGTATCTTATGATCTTTAACTAGACAGTAACAGGATCATGTCAGTAGACGGGAGTAATAGCTAGGATTGAGAGAAATGAAGCGATTCTCTCAACACAATATCTGTCCATGCATTGTATTCTTCTCTCGATTGCAATTGGTACATTATTAGAAACAAGCAAGACAATTTTCTCAATTGAATATACGTGTTCTTCTGGGCTTTCTTTATATGCAGTATGTATGTGTACAGAAATAGACAGTTGTCAGTCAATCACTACTGCCTCTCTCCGTCCCTCGGAGGACGGTCTATACCACTTTTACTTCCGAGGGTAAATCAACTATTGTAACTACATGATTACAGGTATCTGCATTCATATGCAGGAAAAGCTAAAAAAAGCTCGGTCGATATGTAAAATTTTTGTTATCGAGAATTATTGATATTACAAACGTATACATTCATATTACTCCTGTTATAAGCTATTGTTGCCTTTTGGACATCTGGAATGTCTTGTAAGGTTCCAAAGAAGTCCGAAATTAACAAGAAAATTCGAATGCTTCAACCTTTATGTACCTGTGTCATGGTAAATTAAGAATAATAACAGGATAATGCAGTAGACTATTATGTAGATAGATACATCATTTATTTGTTAACTATTGGGGAGGTGGAGGTGCTCTGTATTTATCGAAGCCTCGTAGTTTTTTAACTCGTTTCTGCCAAAATTTCAGGAGCGACTTCAATAACCGCCATCATACCCATAATCATATGAAAGTTATTATGGCAATGTACAGGAACTGGCAGAGAAAACAATAGTTATAAGTATTAAGAGCCTTGTAGAAAGATTTAGGAGCATTGGAAGGAAGGGGCACTTACAGACACCCGGGTTATCCGCAACAATACGAATCTTGGTCCAGCCACAGTCAACAAGTTCGTCTGGTTCAGTAGATGCTACGATCTCGGGGTCGTCGATAGGATATACCGAGACCACATCTCGTAAAAATGGATTAGGAACGTTGCGCCAAGAGCCGTGCTTCTTGTGCTGGTAGCGGCCAGGACCAAAAGCAATCTCAACAAAGGAATAGCCGTGCATATGCCATGGATGCATACGGCACGGTTCGTCATAATCACGCGTCGTTTGAAGCACAATATCAACCACCTCCATGTATTTCAAGGGGTATGTGTTCAAAGTTGCATCATAGCCAGTCTCATCCGGCTGAGGTATGGGTCGCTCACCATCGAAAATAGATGCCAAGATCGTCCTGTTGGGATCAATAAACGTGATATTATTGACATACCATCGCACTTCACCGGTAGGTAAGTCGATACTGGACGCTCTGAGAGTTATCGTTCTCGAAGCCTCCTGGGCGGCTAAAGCGTAAGAAGTTGACGTATCGATTGGTGCAATATCCGGCCAATACCAAAATGGGACATCCCCGGGAAAGTCAAAGAGGTTGTCCGGTATAGAGAACGTGGTCACTTCTTTTCCTTTATCTTGGCCATGTACATCTCGAGTATAACGCAAAACGGCAAGACCATTGGATGAAGGATCAAATTCTGGCTCGATCCATCTACGGATGGTGCTGATCGCATAGTCACCTTCACGGTTACATGGTTCTAACAAGATGGAAAAGCGTTGTCCAGGTGCTATTTCAAGATAGGGTACCGTGTAAGGTTGGACAAGTGTGCCGTCAACCTCGATAATGGTCAGCGCATGGTCGCCAATAGCCAAGTAAATTGTGCGATAGTCATTTGCGCCAATGATACGAATACGATACGTTTTTTCTGGGTCGACAGAAATCACCGAATAGCCTTGGCAACCAGGACCGTAAGCATTAATCTCTGGCTCATACACAGTGCGACCATTTATAAGGACACTTGGTGCTTCTGGAATATCCGTAAAGTTTGTGCCAAGAGTGTAGTCACCGAGATCTTCGGCCGTTTGATTCCACCATTCGCTGATAATGATGGTTCGCTCGTCGTCATAGTGATAGGGTCCAGCCACCAATTCTTTACAGTCGTCGTTGTCGTCGTCAAATAGACTAAAGGGCTTCTTATGGCTCTTACGATATTCTGCTTCTGGATCAGCTTTCTCCGACTCATAGACAATAAAGGCACCAAAAACTGTTTCTGAATGCAAGCCCACATGCGCATGATAAAAGTAAGTGCCTGCCTGATCGATAACCTGAAATTCGTGTAAATAACTTTGCTGAGGTTTGATTGGATCCTGGCTCAGAAACGGAACGCCTAATATTTGTTTTAGACGACAGTAATAAAAGTAAGTAAATGTCCTTTTATAGGAGGAAATAAGAGACTAAAGCGAGAAAAAATTATACCATCGGCAGCTGGTGATCCGAGTTGGCGAATACCGTGGCAATGAATCGTAATATCACCGGAGAGACCACCATTAGCACTAGCAGAGAGTACCGAATATTTGCTTGAATGGTCATAAGATGGCAACAAGTTACGGACAAGCATCTTGACATGGTCGCCTGTCGTCACTGCAATGGTTGGCCCAGCGAATTGACCATTGACCAAGAGCTTGGGAGTTGCAGTGCCGGAGCAATCTGGATCAATGAGTTCACGGGTAATATTGAGCTCGATATAGTGAGTCTTGGAGTGATGTTTGAGAGGACCAGCATAGACCACTGCAGAAACTACTGCAATAAAGCACGCCAAATACCGGAAGAAAGAAGAAGCAAACATTCAAGGAAGGGGGAGGAAGGGAGAAGACGAAAGGAATTTGATTGTCTACAATCCGACGTGAAATAAAGGATAAAGAAGAGAAAGGGAAAACGCAGTCGCTGACGTTAACGATGTCTTTTATATATGAGTCTGTTTCGTGTCTACGGGTCTGTAGCTTTACGTTTAAAAAAACAATTATGCCCTCTTTATCCTCTTATAACTCAACATTAGATGATATGACATTCTTGTAAATACCAATGTTATGCATACAAAGTTCTCTGTTTTTATGTATGGTACTATTTTGGATTGCATGAAACCAGTTAGTAGCAGGCTCATGTCAATAAATGAAGGAAATAAGGACGCTAAGTGAAAGAGAAAAAGTACACTTTTCATCTTATTGTTCTAGTTCACTTGTCTTTAGTAACCTAGGAAGATGCAGAGAATATTCCTCCTTCTGTGACATTGCATAATTTGAGCATAATCAACACAAGTAGCAACATAACTGTCATTCACCGGCTTGTTAGATGAACTCGAAAACATGGAAGATATGGTTAATGCTACTGTTTTTTTTTGAGTTGCATATTCTATCATCATCCCACTGTTTTTATAAGAAGAAGCAAGATAGTTAATAATGAAATCTTTTCGCTGGTATAGTAGGATTTTTACTATTTAATATCAGTCAATACCTATACCCAGCTCTTCGTCTCTTTCCAGAGAGATGACCTTTTTCGTTTTAAAACTTCTAGATAAATTTGGATCCTACCTCAAAGATAAAGCTCGACAATTGTTCTGTTTTTTTTTTTTTTTAGTTGAGCCAGTATAGTGTTGCCATCATATCGACATGATGGTACATAGCACTTATTATATGTTTTTTTTTGACTGCAAGCTGGTCAAAGGAATCTAGCAAGTAACAAGGAATCGTTGTATTTCACCGTGCTTGTATTTGGTAATTTGGAGCTCACCGCCATCTCGATAATTGTTTTCTATGCTGCTATAACATCACTCTTCAGACATAACAACCAGTGAGATTAAATAGACGAATCCTGCTGGTTTTTAATGAGGCGCAGTCTGATCAGAGCAAAAAACAAGTTTGCAAGTAGTAGACGCATTCATCGATATGCATAGAGCAGTAACATGATTTTTGGTATGCCATTTTTGCTGAGCAGTAAAGTGAGAACAAGCTATATATAGATGGAGCTTAACTTAACGTGTTATGAACTGGTCGCTGTAAATTGAAAGCTATAATACAAAAGCTCATTTTGTAGGAGGAGGACAGGAGGAGGAGTAACTGCTATATTCTATTTACAAGTATTATCAGGACATTGTTAAATTTTTGCCCGCTTCAGTCAGCAGCAGCTCAGGAGCGATCTCCATGGTGAACATCATGCCCATGAGCATGTGGAAAGCATTATGACAATGTGTAGCCCCTAAGCAAAGCAAGGTGTAATTGATGAGAAATACATATGTGGTCATGTGCCCCGTATATTATTTCAGGAAGAGTATTACTTACAAAAGCCAGGGTTGTCGGCGGTAAGGCGTATTTTCGTCCAGCCACACGGTAATACTGTACCGTTTGCTGCAGCTTCTGATACCCTTAAGTCTTCAGCCGGGTAAACCAAGACAACATCCCGTAAAAATGGGTGAGGCACATTGCGTAAATCACCATCGGTTGTTTCGTCGTAAAGACCGGAGCCATAAGCAAGCTCGTAAAACGAATGGCCATGCGTATGCCAAGGATGACTTCGACAGGGCGCGCCTCCTTTTACGTACGTAGACTGGATCACAAAATCGACTACTTCCATATACTCCAAAGGATAAGTATCCAGATATGGATCGTATCCAGTTGTAGAGATTGATTTGGTCCGCTGACGTGATGCTGCTCCAGTTTTAGGCAGTCGATATTGTTCTTGTCGCTTTCCCGACATGGTGGACGTCAAAAGGGTTTCTTTGGGATCCGTAAAGACGACATCATTGACGTACCAGCGCTCTGCCCCGGTCGGCAACTTTTTGCTTCCAGTGTCTAATATAAGTGTCCGAGATGGTTTACGTTTGAGAACCGATACCACCGGCTCGACTGGCCTAAGTTTCGACCAGTACCAGTATGACATGTCTGGAGGAAACTTGTATTTATCGTGAGGCGTGGAAAATATTGATACCCCGTCGTATAATGTGTCATCGCTGCTAGCTTTTTGATGGTGATGAGGACGGTCATATGACGAGTCAGACGATGTGTATCGCAGGATGGCCATTCCGTTCGAAGCTGGATCTACGCCTGCAGCATAACGGCGGATAGTATTGATTGTATAGTCGCCTTGTCGCTTGTGATTTTGAGTAGCAGGACGCAGTAAAATGGAGAAGCGCTGTCCTGGTGTCATTTCCAAGTACGGCACATCATATGGCTGGAGCAGAGTGCCGTCAGACTCAATGACGGTTAGATCGTGATGAGCAATAGCAAATCCAAGAGTGCGGAACACCATGGCACCAATGACGCGGATACGGTATGTCTTTTCTGGGTCCACAGAAATGACCGAGTAACCACCACAATCAGGGCCCTTAGGATGCTTTGGATGGTATAGCGTCTGTCCATTCAACAAGATGCTGTGTGCTTCGGGAATACCGTGAAATTTAGGACCAAGCATGTACTCTGCAATCTCATCCGATGTGTTGTGCCACCACTCGCTCATCACAATAGTCCTTTCTTCATCGTAATGGTACGGCCCAGCGACGAGTCTATCATGACTGCTTCTTCGTTGTCTAGGGTTGGCATCCTTGGATTCGTAGACGATAAACGCGCCCATCACCGTTTCTTCTGAAGCCAGGACATGCATATGGTAAAAGAAAGTTCCCGCTTGCTCGGTCACTCGAAAGTCGTATAAGTAGCTATCTTGTGGCTTTATAGGATCTTGTGTCAAGAATGGTACGCCTATTATTTGTTGTTCTTGGTCAGTATGAGAAAGTTTGACATTGGGGAAAGTGAAAGGTACAAGTCAGTGCTGGGTTATCAGAGCTCTTACCATCGGCTTCGTTGGAGCCTATTTGACGAATTCCGTGACAATGAATAGCAACATCGTTCGAATGACCACCGAGCACCGAATCTTCGGAGAACACGATTGGGTCATGCTTTGGTAATAAGTTTCGTACCAGCATCTTGACTCTGTCGCCTGTCGTCACTTCAATGGGTGGTCCCGGCAATTGACCGTTCACCAGAAGTTTGCCGCCTTTATACCCAGAACAGTCAGGATCAATACTTTCACGGGTAATGTTTAACTCAAAGTAATGAGTTTCGTAGCCATTGACAACAGCGATAACTGCCAGATATATAAAGAAAAAGACGAACAAAGGCAATGGGGTAATATGCATTATGTAAGTGTAAATGAGAATATTATTACAATGGATTGCGGGTTTAAATGATGATGCTAGATGAATTCAAAGAAAGAAGCGTAGGTAAATGTTGGCAGTAATTATATAACAACTACTCAATATTTATATACAGGTTTTTAATTAACCATTGTCTCTAAATATAAATTGGTCCATCTCGCTTCCTTTGTTAACGCAGTAAACAAACCAGTGGCGTCATGGTCACAAAAAGTCTTGTTGTCGTCGCTCTCCCCCCGTTTTTGCGCACATTATTTTGAATTGCAGGAGCATGACAAGTAAAAGACCAGAGCGCATAATAAGAAACAGCAGACTTCGCCACTCTAACCTTCCGGGCGAATCGAAACCCCAAATGCGATATATTTTTAGCTTATTTTGAATGAAGAACGGATGTCGCCGGTTTAGTTTAAGTGGTTATTGTTCAGACGCTCAAGGAGGCTGGCGGTTCTATTTATTGCTAAAGTGCAAGTAACCTGGGTACTGGTTTCGATTGCAGCAATAACTACAAGCATGCGCCATTTGACGGTTTGTAGGAACAGGTCAAACGCTAGTTCCTTAAAAGAACAAAGAGAACGACACTCATTTGTTTGTACACATACATAAGAACATATATAGACATATGTACCTTTTTTTACATTTTTGTATGCATATATCATACAATGAACAAACCTTGAAGAGAGGAAAAAATGTTTTGAATAATAAAATTTATCACAGGGCTTTGCATGAGCTCACAAGAGTGCTGTTTTATTCATGTTACACACTGTAATCGAGTGCTTCAATATTTGCAAAACAGCTTTGCTTCAGTTTACACTCCTCGAACTTCTACTACAGCAGCAAAATAAATTGCTGGACTAGAGGACATTCCACAACACAACAGCAGATTATATTCGACTAACACTCAACTGCATTACTTGAAGTTTATGGTTTTCTTCATTGCAACTACTAACAAAGTAGTAGAGCGTTTTACCCCGCTTATAGTATGCCTCATTAATACGATTGCTATTTTCTACCTGAATAGCATTGTAATGATTTTTTTTCTTTCAAACGTTGTTTCTGTGGGTTCAGTTTTTTCAACAAATCAGTGCACCATTATTACTCTGGAGTACAGCAAAATAATATACAGAGACGCATCAATCAAAAAGGTCACAGGCAGAAAGTTTTTTAAGGACTATATTACCACAGGTACAGAATCTATATAAAATCCGGCGTGGGGTATTACAAGACGGAAGCATGCATCATTACATATAATGAGAATAATGGGAAAAAGATGACCATACTCTATTCTTGCAAAAAGCTCCTATCGGACTACAGCTAAAGCAAATCTATGTTTGTCTCATTCAACCTGCAGTCATTCTATGTTTCTTGTTCAATTTGTTCAATGAGCCAACACGTTACTTGAGCTGTCTCGGCAGCACGCATCGGAAATTCGCTGCGAGGCAGTCGTATAACATTCGCATATAAATATCATAGCCCACCGCTAGCAAACTTACGTTTCTAGTTTCAACTTGCTCCCGCGGTTTCTACTCTTCCTCTTGCACATCTTTCAAAGAACTAAAGCAGCACTACCAGTATCCAACATGGCTCCAAACAGGAGGACTCGTAACTACTGACCCGTTAAACATTTACAAGTAACCAAGCAGGAATGATGTTACAAAGCATTTGACAAAACAAGATAGCGGATAAAAAGTACCTCAACCTCTTACAGAGAGCTACAATGTACTTTGACGATGTATTGAAATCCAACGAAGTTGTTAGTGCTATTGATCCGCAAAGAGCATGCAAAAAAGCATAGGTTACCAAAAGCGTAAAGCATCTTTTGGCGTTACAATGTAGAGTCCAGCTTCCCGCTACATAAGATTCTACCCTTCATGCCGAAAAGAGAGCCGGTGCTGTTGGAGAACTGATATGCATCAACTGGGTCAATCCAGCGGTGGATAATGCTAAATGAATAAGCGCCTGCGCTGTTGTGATGCTTGTTAGCAGGGCGCAATAACATTGAAACCGGTTGAGCGCTTACGAATTCCAAGAGTGCTACGACGTCGTACGGCTTAACAAGTGTACCGCTGACCTTGATGACTGCTAAATTACGACGTGCAATGCCAATCAGAGAGTCTGGAATATTGGGAGTCCAAAGATTCGGATACGATTTATATCTTTTCGGGGACCCCGGGAATCACGGAGGAGCAACGACAATTGAATCCTGTGTGCTGCTTGGACTCTTGATCGTATGTAAGATGTGCGGCTATGATCCCGAATGCTTGGTGCTTATGTCATATTTCCCTGTAAAGTTAGGGCTAAGAACTCAAGCATTGAAATCCTTCGCAGTGTGGTGCCAACATTTGCTTGAGATAATGACACGTTCGTCGTTGTATATGAATGGACCAGTAATCGATTCCTTTCCGGCGCCGATAAAGTCGGCGGAGGGCGGGAATACACGGATTCATGGATTGAATAATGGGTCCAAAGGCAAATTCGGTGTGCAAAGCGTCCAAGGTAAAAGTATGTTCCGGCGTGGTTGATCACTACTACTATGTTTTGCAGATTGCCTATTTTGCTTTTTTTCTTTTATTTTGCCTTGCTGTATAGCTTGTATATGCATAACAATAAGGCTACTAAATAAAACTTGTGGTCTCTTGGAATTCTGAATAAGTTGTTGTATGGAATAAGATGTGGAATAACTGAACAATGGTTGTTTTGATTGGGATAAATGAACAAATATGGACGATGTTGTATTTGTTTGAATTACTTGGTCACCATGTGTACTAAGATTTTTATATATCTCCAAGGTCAGTATTACCACAATGAGATGTTTCTTCTTGTAAAGCCGCGAATAATGTCTCAACATATATATATATATATATATATATATACAAATGTGGAGTTCGTTGCCGCCCTATCATATCAATAGTAGGTAAAATAGACATCTTTTGTAACCGTTTGCGCTCTGTTTGTCTAGATTCAGTTATCTTTCTAGTAAATCATTCGCTACGCAGCTGGATGAATCTAGGAAGTACGCGATTTGTGAAAAAGACATATAGTAGCTTTATAAATTTGGCTGTTAAAGAACTCCATCATACCGGACATATTCCCCGAGCAGGTATACCAAACGATCCATTAAACAGGGAAAAGAGGAGGGGCGTTTTTTTGTTGTTTCTTGTAGTCGTGATATTCGATAGCACAAATTGTTACAATGTTCCGTACTTGAATCAAGCAATTGTTCAAGAGCAGCCACCTGAGCTCTACGAAGCTTTGGCATTTTCGGATGCTCTGTTGGACTTGATGGAGGTTCAAATATACATCGTTTTCCCCTCCTTCAGATATTGCGACCAACGGTGCCTATGAGGCAATTGAATGTTTGAGCAACTGAAAATAACAAAACCATTCGAATGAACAGATATCAAATTAAATATGAAAAAATAGATAAACATGTAATAGTAGTAGCGTTGGTTGCATTGAACTCAAAACATTTGACGTAATAATGTCAATTGTGTTACCATTAAAGCATTTAATTGTAGTAGGTACTCACAACTTGCCAAATGTGTGCAGCTGGTCATGCTAAAGTGTACGTTATGCAGCCACTTGCGGAGCATCCAAATCTAGTATTAGTCTTTGCTAAAAAATAAAATTCCAACAATGTATGGATTCATTATCTTGTTGTTTACAAAGTTGTATTCACCATAGTCAGTGATATTATCGACTAGCATCGCATTACTAGTGCAAAAGCAGTGTATATGGAGGGCAGCGCAGTATTGCGCATTCGTCGTTTGTATACAAAACTGTGTTTATAGTTTAGTCTATCCATCCGCAGCTGAACTGCCAATTTGGTAGATCTTGTGGTTGTAATGGATCGTTGTTCCTAGAAATGCTCGCCAAAAAAGCTGCATGCTCAAGGAAGTGTACAGTTTCACTTACAGGGTTTTCAAAAAGTAATGTCGCGCTCTGTAAAAATTAATGTCGTATACAAATAAAAATCAATGTCGCTTGGCAGCAAAAATTTTGTCGCATGTTTCAAAATTGAGCATTTTCTGAAATAAATGTCGCCTGTTTTTAGAAGTAATACTAGGAACGTAGTATAAAGCTATCTAAAAAAAGCCTTCTTAAATAATAGTTTCATAAAGTTTTGATGATTCCTTGTAATAAAGAAAAGAAAAATATTTTACTTACCTTATACTTACTGTTTATTTATCTTATCATTATTATGTAACTGCAATGATAACTGTCATTACTACACAAAGTATTATAGGCTCTCTTTTCTACGACACTTTTCTAAGCATCTGTGTGAATAGGAAACAAACCCATTGAAATCTGAAGGTCTTACCTTATTACATGCTTCACGGATTCTTGTAGTCAAGGTCTCTTGTTGTAAGAATCGTTGACGCTTCATCTTACTCTTTGCAACCGACCAAAGCTGTTCTATAGGATTTAGCTCAGGAGAATATAGAGAAAGATATCCATATCGGTATCCACGGTATTCGATATATTTCGCAATATCGGTAGAAGTATGAATAGGTGCATTATCCATTATCAGATAATGACCTTTCATCTGTGGGTATTTATCCATTTCATCTAATGTTTCTTTCAAAAAGCTAATATAATGGCCTGTTACAGTTCCAGTGCTTAGAAGTTTAGATCCTTGACCAGCCTTTCTCTTCTTATTAGGACGAGGTATTCTCACACTAGCTTTGATTAACCGAGGCAGAAATAGCGCCTAATAAGGTTGTGGCTTTTGCTCTAGTAGTTGGCACTGTTACTATAGCAGGAGTACCTACCTTTGACCAACCTCTTGTACGTTTCATATTGATATGGAATGGTGATTCATCAATAAACACGCAGTTAGTCAAGAAATCCATATCTGTTAGATCCCATTCACGAACACGATCGTAGCGTTCGTTAATCTTTTCTGGACTATTTCTTTCAACAGAGTGAAACTCTGCCTTTTTCAACGATAAGTTGTATCCTGTTGTCTAAAATTATGAACCGTTCTGCGAGAGACTTTTAGACCCGTAGACTTATACTTATCTATTAGATAGTCTGTTATTTCTTCAATCACAGCCGAAGGATTGTCTTTTTATTTCCTCAATAAGGATGGGTTTGCGACCTAGTTTCTTCTTACTATCAAATATCGAATCTGGATCCTCTTCATACTGTTTTACCCATCTCTGTGCGGCACGAATATGTATACATAACTGCTTAGCTGCTGCTGAAGCACTCATGCATTTTTCTATCTTCAATTTAAAGAATTTAGCCTTATCTTCATTCGTATATCGAGTATATGAACGCTTTTCACTAATTTCTTTCATTTGCAAGTCCTGATCTGTCTCATGCCTCGCATGATCTAAATGCTCGAATACATTGTTTGTAATACTTGTGGAGGCAGCATTTTGTAAATATTCGGTGTGGGATGTGAGTGATTCAAGTGCAAATACATTCTGGTCGACAATGTAATCTATAGGTTCAGGTCTGCCGTTTTCATCTACAGCATTTCCCTTCCCATCTTCATAAAAAAATTGTGCCATGTTATATAGTTTAAATGATTTATAATTTCAATGATGTATAGTTTCGATTATATAGCTGAAAAAAAGAATAAAGAAAAAAAGTTCCGTTTGGTGGAATTTATATTTTTTACTAAGGCAGAAAATGCGACATTTGATTTCTAAGCAATTTTTTACAGAGCGCGACATTACTTTTTGAAAACCCTGTACATGACCATTTCACTGATATCGTATATAATGGTTTTAGTTCGTTGAATTATGTTGATCATTCTTGCGCGTGCTCAATTGTGTTAAATTACTTTTCAAGTTTTTTTTTAGTAGATTACAGTTAAGTTTAGCTTTTCCTTATCCTTGTTATGATTGGTTTTTTTTTTGAAGCGGATTGTAGATGCAAACTTGGTCGACTTCGCCTTTGCCAAGTCCCTCTCTATGTTTGCGATTTATTTTTGAAGCGGATTGTAGATGCATACTTGGTCGACTTCGCCTTTGCCAAGTCCCTCTCTATGCTGCGAGTGAGTTATGGATGCATACTTGGTCGACTTCGCCTTTGCCAAGTCCCTCTCTATGCTTGCGATTTATTTTTGTAGCGGATTGTAGATGCATACTTGGTCGACTTCGCCTTGGCCAAGTCCCTCTCTATGTTTGCGATTTATTTTTGAAGCGGATTGTAGATGCATACTTGGTCGACTTCGCCTTTGCCAAGTCCCTCTCTATGTTTGCGATTTATTTTTGAAGCGGATTGTAGATGCATACTTGGTCGACTTCGCCTTTGCCAAGTCCCTCTCTATGCTTGCGATTTATTTTTGTAGCGGATTGTAGATGCATACTTGGTCGACTTCGCCTTGGCCAAGTCCCTCTCTATGTTTGCGATTTATTTTTGAAGCGGATTGTAGATGCATACTTGGTCGACTTCGCCTTTGCCAAGTCCCTCTCTATGTTTGCGATTTATTTTTGAAGCGGATTGTAGATGCATACTTGGTCGACTTCGCCTTTGCCAAGTCCCTCTCTATGCTGCGAGTGAGTTATGGATGCATACTTGGTCGACTTCGCCTTTGCCAAGTCCCTCTCTATGCTTGCGAGTTTATTTCTTTTTTTTCTTCCTTTTTCAAGTAATTTGTAAAAGTTGGTCGAGACAACTTTTACCATTTCTCATTTTTTGCACGAAATATTAGGCTAAGAAAGAAACCAGCAAAGGCCAACCTTGACAACAGGTTTTTTTTTACTTTTGTATCAATGGCACAAACTCTTTGCAAACTGAAAACCTTTCGTACTGGGAAACAGGTAAAAATATAACAGTGATAGCATCAAGTGAATACTAAATAGATGGGTATGATCGTCATTTAAACCTACATTTTTAATAGTATCCGCAGCAACAGGAGGTTTCATGAAATGCTTTTATTGATGATAACTTGGAGATCATTGTTTCAGGAATGGAAAAAGATTTCAAAAACAATTGGGCCTTGTTATAAACCAAGCTGCTAGAAGAATAAAGTAAATCTGGTACGATCGACTAGTACATATAAATTGTTATGTTTGTATTCTGTATCTTATAAATCTTTGCTTTTTTTTTGCGGCTGTAATCCCATGATAAGTCAAATTGGTGGAAGCAAGATTTGCGGGCCATACCATCCTCCCCACCACTCTGCCAGCGAATTCAAAAATATACCTTTAAAATTCAAGTTCAGTGGAGTTCAACATGGCATCAGGTTCAACCACATGGACCACAATGGTACGCCAGTCAACAAAACCAAGGCAAATTCAATTTATTCTGGCACAAACTACGAGTGGGTGGAAAGCACATCTAAACCATTGGGTTCAACAAAAAATGATAGGTAGACGGGCATAACTAAGGCAATGAAAATATAACTTCAGTATGTATCTACCAAATATATAAACCGAAGTAGTTTATAAACAATATACTAGCACACTTAAGCTGTTTTAACTCTACATTTTCTATTATTATGAACTACAACGGTTTCACGACAGCCATCTAGTAGTCATTCTCAGTATACGTAAAACGCGTAGTGGCGAGCAAAAAGTAGTGGGCAAAATTGGTACGAGGGCGGAGCACTTTATTGAATTTTTGGAGGTGGTAATGAAGGTCTTGAAGGAAAATGGCACGGATGGAAGAACTTTAATCATGAACAACGCTCCTATTCACAAGACACAAGAGGTAAAGGATGCTGTTGCTAAGCAGGGCTTTACTTTACTGTATCTCCCTCCTTATAACCCTTTTCTGAATACTATTGAAGAATTTTGGTCCAAAGTTAAGGCAGGTGTTAAGCGCAATTTGCTTTCTTCCGACGATCCCTTGATACCACGGATCGAACAATCTGCGCGTCTGGTTACTCCAAGGATTGTCAAGGATGGATAAAGCATTCACTGTCGTTTGTGCCTCGATGTCTCCTTGAGGAGCAGATGTTGTAGTTTTTTTTTTAATATTTAAATAAATTCATTGTTATTGTTGCTGTTGTTATAAGAAAAGACGAAAAGTATGTCAAAAAGGAAATTAAAAAAAGGAATGTCGTCATGGAATTAAAATGAAGATGTCAAAAGTAAAATTCACATCGGCCATCAAAGAATTACGAACTCTGCCAATAATTAAAATTACACCCGTCGTCTGGTTTAATCCCCCAACGCCAATTTCAAAACTATCCCGTGCCAATGTAAAAAAAAAGCCCCGCCAATCATTAGGAAAATCCTGTAACAACACAACAGGTTCCTCCTAACTTCTGTTGCCATGTCAACAAATTCACCACAAAGAAACTGCAACACAGGTAATAAAAAGATTAACAATAATAGATGCTAGGTAATTCTAAATAACTGGTTGTAATAGCCATCAAAAACTATATCTCAAATATTATCCGCAGCAACAAGAAGGCTTCATTAGCTGATTTTATTGAGGATAACCTGGAGTTTATTGTTGCAAATACAAAAAATAGCGAAGATTACAAGAACAGTTGGATCTCGCGATTCAATAGGGCTGCTAAGGACTTTGAAGCATTTCTGGTATGAAAAACTAGTACTTTTTATTGTCGCGTTTGTATTTTTTATCTTATGATTTTTTTTCTTTGCTGCCCTAGTATGAAGAACCACCAAATTGGATACAAGTAGAGAAAGCTCTCGCCGAGCGTGCTATCACCTTACCGCCATCACAACCAACCCCTACCACCCCTACAGACAGCTCTGAACAAGCTAAAAAGTTAAATGCTGATGACAAAAAAAGAATCGCTGCAGTTTATGATAAAATGATAGAAAGCAACATGTGGAGACTTGAAACCAGAAAATATGTTGAGAAAAAGATGAAAGTAGTAGCTTTGGAACAAGAGTACGAGCAGTAAGTTGCTTAGTAAATGACGAGTGTTCTATAGTAGCATAGTATTATAGTATTGAAGACTAATCAATATCATTAAATCTTTATAGCCCTGCACATTCGGTCATAATGGACCCCACCGACCCTATTTGGGAAAAACGGTTCAATGCAGAGGAACTCTACGAGTTGTGGAATTACATAGTACCAGTAATTCCTGAATTACCAGCACCACTTGAACAGTTTATGGAGTCTTTCGAAGGCAAAGTAAGTAAAAGCATGAAACAGAACACTAGATTCTTCGGTATTAACGTGCGAAAAAATACATTAGGAAACTTTGGATGACTTATATTACCATATTCGCAGTTTTCGATATCATCCAGTTCATGAATCAGAATTACATTGGATGCAATTGACTGTAGAAGAGGCACTTATGTTGTTGTATCATGGATACTTTGAAAAAAACCGTACAGAAGCCGACCTTATCAGACACGCATGGACTTTTATGGATAGTTGCTTCGACTCATCTGAATATATTGTATCCAACAGGTAATCATAATAATCACATATGCCATATAATCAAAATTCTCACAGTTACTCTCATATTTTTTAGTGGTGAAAAAGCCAGCAAGGCAACTTCAGAAGCACAAAACAAAGACAGACCAGTAGGTGGTGATAAAAGCATCACACGGAAGAAAGTTGGAACAAAAGTGGATCAGCTTTTTGCTACCCCACTTTTCGAACTCGGTGCAATGGAAGCAGGAGCAGAAAGTGACAGAAGTAGTAGTAAAAGTATTACGGAACTTCATATGAAGTGTCCAAAAACATTAAAAGACATGGCCGTTGAAATGGAACGATACAATCCGGTGCAATTGCGCCAAATAAAGACTTGTGGCTTCATCATTTCAGGTAAGCAATCGAAGTAACTTGGTTGTGTTTGTATACAGCATTCTAACATATGGTTACTAGGCCTTTATCTTCAATTCCTTGTCCTGGACTGTCCCACTGGTTATGCTAGCAGGGTAACCAAGTTACCTGACTGGTTACCATATCCAATGTCTGCTGCTTCATTCATAGACTTTTTTACTCTTCTTCATACACTTTGGGCTTCAAGGCATATAATGGAAGAAACAAAAAGAGCAGTTGAAAAAAAGCCAAAAAAGAAATCTACTTTCCAAGCACCTTTACCACGACGATTGGAGCCATCATTCACATCCACAGCAACAAAACCAAATTATAAAAAAAGAAAACTCAGCGAAGGAAGCGTAACACCATCACCTTCACCTTCATCATCTTCTATGTCATCATCTTCAGCAAGTTCATAATTTTTTTCCTTATTCTTTTTTTGTATATATATATATATAACCGTGCTTTTAGCAAAATCTCATTTTACCTCTCTTTTTCTTTCTATCACGAAACTCTTACTACATACCTGTCATTGCATCATCTTCTTTGACAACCTCATAACTTTTTTTGGATGTATCCCAACATAATTCACAGAATATTAAATTAAAACTCAATTACTGAAAAAGCAAAAAATTGAATTTTTTATTTATAATAAAATAATCATGAAATATGTTTACAGAACCTTATATAAATTTAAAAGATTTATTTCATAATGAAGAAAAGGCATTATTATACTTAATTGAAAATGATTATATAAACAAAATTAATAAATGTTTAACATGTAATTCAGATACAAAATTATATATTAATAAAAAAGTGTTTATATATAAAAATTATAAATGTCGTAAAGCATATTCACTATTACATGGTACTATATTTTCAAAAATGAAATTACCTTTAAATTTACAATTGCATATTTTAAATTATTTTATCCTGAAAATGCATATAGTAGTATTGCCTCAACATTACAAATTAGTAAAAACACAGTAACATCATATAACAAAATATATAGAAAATATTTAAAAAATAAAATTTATTTTAGTAGACATAGAAAGATTGGTGGAAGAAATAAAATAGTAGAAATTGATGAAAGTAAATTTGCTAAAAGAAAGAATAATAGAGGTCATAAAGTTGAAGGTGCATGGGTAATTGGGGGAATTGAGAGAAGTTCCTTAAAAATAAAATAAAAAATGAGAATAAGAATTTATTTCTTTTACAAATTGATAAAAGAGATATTAATGGAATTGATAATATTGTTAGAAAATATGTTAAAAAAGGAAGTATTATATATACTGATAAATGGAAAAGATATAATAATCTAAAAAATATAGGATATAAACATGAAACAGTTAATCATAAAAAGCATTTTAAAGATCCAAAAACAGGAGTTCATACAAATACAATAGAAGGTATGGTGCCCGCCACCTAGAAACAACAAGTGGACATTTCAAAAATTTAAAGTTCTGCCATTATAAATTTCCATTTTTAGTTAAGCGATATTTATCCATTGAAAATTCGCTTCTCAGAGGATAAAAATAAACAAACTGCTCTCATATAATGCATCTTACATGATTCTTAGAAACTGACAGTTCTCTTTGAATGTACAAGAAAATTACTTGATTGTGTTCTTTGACTCTTGCACATTTTGAGGTGCTTCTGGTACTTGTTGAGTCTCCCCATTGTATGGAATGTTTTGGAAAAAAAAAGGAACAATCAAACTGTCATCCTACTTATAATTTACATGGCACCATTACAGTCAATGTTGATTAGAATTGGAAGGCTGAGGTATATATTGCACCAGCGCTTATCACTAATGTTACACTACCTTCTTAATATGGAAATCGCCGATTTAATGTCATATACTATAGTGTATAGTAGGGTGGACATTCTGACAAAATCCTCTGCTAAATCTTCAAATCGACCCCAACTTCGACACTTTATTTCTCATTTTTTTTGCTCGTATGTAAATAAAAGCTTTTCATAGAATTATTCTTTGAGCCTCTCTCTATCGTTCTATGAAATCAAAAAAGTGGGTTGTATAAGTGAAAAAAGTTGAAATAAAACATTGAAAACTGGTCCAAACATTTACGTTTCTAGGTGGCGGGCACCATACATGGAATGGTTTAAAGCAAAGTATTATACCTAGATGTAGAACAAAGAAAGATTTATTATTATATATGAGAGAGTATCAGTGGAGAAAAAAAAATAGAGAATATAATTTATGGAAAAAGTTCTTAAAAGATTAAATATTATAAAATTGAATTTAATTATATAATAAAAATATAATCAACATAAACATTACAATGAATGATAATCCATTTATAAATAAAAAATTCTTAAAAGATATAAAAAGATCATTTGTTCATCAAAACTTTTTAATAAAAATAAATATAATTATAAAATCATAAATGTAGAATTTAAATTAAAAAAGAATAACCTAGTACAGATGATTACCAAATCAGAAGATGGAAATAAATATGAATATACTTATATATTATCGGATTATACAAAACAAATTAATAAAAATGATGCAATATCTGATATAGTAAATAATTTCAAAAAATGGATATAGATTAATAAATATATAGACTATGTCCTTTGTATGACAATAAACTGCTGGAGGAAAGTTAGATAAAAAATAAAGGAGTTGAAGGAATTTATGGGATTCAACATGGCATATAGACAATTACATTTTACCTTTTATATTCAACATATATTTTGTGGTGTTCTTGGTGTATTCTCTCCTTTCAAATAATATTATTTATTTAAATGTTTTCTGAGATTGAAAAAATAAATCTGTGAACTATCTTAATAATGACCCCTTTTTTTTCTTTTTTTTTGTATATATATGAATATAACCTCTCTTTTAACAAAGCTTCATTTTATCTTTCTTCTTCTTTGTAACGATGCATACCGTTACGACGATATCGAACCTGCATGGTTGACGATCGACAACGCATGGTTCAGACGATAGGATGACTTGCGGTCAACCGCATGGTTGAATATGGAGTAATAGGCGTGGATATTCTAGATAGAAGTTATGATATAGATCAATACTTAGACGATAGCTAGCCCCCTATTACTCAACGTATATATAAAGACGGGATCCTGAGTTATATGGATCCCCATCGTTTTATCCTTTGATATATCCGAGTCTCACCTAATTTATTGATCCACACTGTCTACCCATTCACGTTCCCGATTGTAAGTATCTGGGCCGACACTGTTACATTCTTTCTATCATCTAACTCTTACTACATACCTGACATTACATCTTTATAAGACAGTTTTATCTTTTTACATATAACACTCTTTTCAGAAAGTCTGTATTTTCTCTTTCCCCCTTTTTTTCTATTACTCAACTCTTAGTACACGCCTGACGCTACATTTCCTCTTCTTTTGTCGACATTGTTCTGTAATATTTCCAAAGAATGTTTTACTTTTTTATCTGTCAAGTACTTTACCGCAATGATATGAAAATCAAAATGCAGTGGCAGAGAAGAGACAATTAAAGTGACTATAACAATTTAAATAAAGACACAAATTATCCCTCAAAATATGCTGTTATCTTCCTGTTCTTATTCTTTACATACATACACCACTTCGCCACTTTGATAAAGATACATAGTTTACTCAATTTATTGAAAGTATCAATGATAGTTTTTTTAAAAAAAAACACTGTAAAGTTCAATTTGGCTGCAATAATAAATAAGATTAAAAAAAAGGTGTGCTGAATACATATCAGTTCTGCACATTAAATGCTTGCTCGCAGATAATCAAGCACACCTCCTTCTCTGTCCAATAACATGATTCAGTCTATATATAAGGATCTATTATTAGTCAATGGCTTTTTTTTAAAAGCAAAGCATACAAATGTAGAAGAACTCCAGTGTTGTGTTAAGTTGTGGTGCATATCCATGACAGCATCATAGAACGCCGTATTATAAATGGCATTATTGACTAGTCTTCTTCTGAAAACAAATATAGTTGCCACAACCTTCATTTTTCTTTACTAGTTATTATTCTTTCTTTTCTAGAGTTGGCTCAACAGGAGACAGACATTTGAAATTACCAGAGTGGAATATGTATATCATGAAAGGATAGCGTTAAGTAAACTATAATAATTTGAAAACCACTGCTTGCCTCTAACTAGGTATTTTGACATTGTATAATTTATGGGTCTTGTTTGTGTCAATCAGTAAGCTACTGGAAAGAATGATTGCATCATAAGAAAGAGAGAGAGAGAATAACAATTGATTGAATTTTATCAAGTAGTGATTATAATAAACAGATTAAAGTATTCATTATGCAATAAGAGCGGCATTACACAAAATAGCTAAAATAATAAAAAGCTACTATTTGTCTACTAGTTTGCTAAGATCCATTACTTGGAATGGTTTGTCCGTATCTAAACTGCGAATAAAGAAGAGAGATTAATGTTCACAAAATCTATGTAATTACTCACATTATGAGTCATCAATGAATCCGTTAGGTATGGATAGAAGTAGTTAAATTAGGAACTGTCAATAACAAAGAATACAATGTCTCAAATTTTTTCATATAATATAATATGGTAGTGCTGATTATTGTGAAACAGTCATTTAAATTAAGTAATGAGTAAAAAAAAAGCTGGCTTACGCATAAACTTGTAGGCCAGCAAGATTTCTTCCTTTATGTAAGGTCATGACACATCTTTTTTCACAGGTATCGACCCTTCCCATTCTATTAAATACTTTTTTTAATCAAGTTTAATTAGACATTTTTTTTGGTGAAACTCTTTTCTCAGTCTTTTTGCATAATAACAAACCACGTACACGTACAACAGCAACAACGACAAGCACAATTCAATCTGGACATACTAATTCATATGGACAAGGCTATTGTTTCTTTTTTATTTACATCATTTTTTGTTTAAGGTAATCCATAAAATTATTACTTTTTTCAACTTGCAAAAAAAAAAAAACCGACCAGCCAGCCAGCAATTTCTCTTCTTTCAAAATAGATGAAATGGAACCTTGGATATAATCATTTTCTTTTCCTATCACTCTTTTTTGGTATATCTCAAGCACATTATCCACTTCTGCTCCTCCCCTTTCTTTTCTTGATCTTTTAACAAGAACAATGAACAATAACCAAGTTTGAAACAATCTCCTTCCCTACAACAGTCAATGGTATGTTTACGTTTTTACTGCTGCGTATTGGATCTCACTGAAACTGCAACAGGTGAACAAGTGAATAAGAACGGAACTATGTAACAATATTAACCCACTAGTGATTGAATCTTGCCTTCGACATTCTTTTACATTGTACTAGTGCTTACAAGATTCAAACAAAATTGCAAGAACTCAGTCAATTGTTGTAATCAAGTCAACTCAAATAAAAACGAGTAATGGCAACAGCAACATACTGTTATTCACCGAATCCAACATTTCTACAGACAACAAAAGAAAAGAATCACTGCAGTTTATGATAAAATGGTAGAATGCAACATATGGAGACTTGAAACCGGAAAATATTTGAAAAAGAGATGAAAGTAGTAGCATTGGAACAACAGTACGAACAGTAAGTTGCTGATAGATGTTTGAGTGTTCTATACTAGTATTATAGTATTCAAAACTAATCAATGCTATTCAATCTCTATAGCCCTTCTCACGGACCCTATTTGGGTAAAACGGTTTAATGTAGAGGAATTCAACAAGTTGCGAAATTACAAACGGCCTATAATTCCCGAATTACCAGCATCACCTGAACAAACAAAATGGAAATGGTATCAAGCAAAGACAACGAATTGGAAGGTCAGATTTTGAATTGAGAATATTTGCTCCAAATTCTACTTAAATAACAAACAACACCATCATCCAAGAAATAATATGGTTCTCACCAATACCGACAAGTTTAAATACATTCACAAGCTTCAGGATTCAAAATCGACTGTATCTATTTTATGTATTTAAATTGAACGTCAGGCCTATATCACAGCATATGGTACAACATTCAAGGAAGTCTTCAGTATATATTCGAGTCAAATTGCTTATTTGTTCATCAATTCTTCTTTACCTGTCTTGCATTACACATAAACGAATCAAGGATCAAGTGTTTAATGGAAAGAAATGATTTTGGATAATGTGTTTCAACATTATGGTTCCGAAACGAAAAGGTACTTTTGTTCGAAAAGTGAAGTGTTATTCATATTTGTTTGGTGGCTGTATTGTTTATCTGTGAATTTACTAAAACGTATATCTCATCTAACTTTAGTATAGTAACCAATCGATGAAATGATCATGTTTTGCGATATCACCAACCCAGTCAAAGCTCATGCCAAACAACGTTAGTGAATTGGGCTATATACTATTTGGTACACGCGAATATGTTTTGGTAAGTTCTTTTTTTATATACGCACAATTGCTTTACAATATGTCTTTGATAAAACAGAAACACTAAATTCTTCAGCTTATGAATATATTTATTAGGATCTTGTATATCATGTTCGCAGTTTTCGATATCATCCAGTTCATGAATCAGAATTACATTGGATGCAATTGACTGTAGAAGAGGCACTTATGTTGTTGTATCATGGATACTTTGAAAAAAACCGTACAGAAGCCGACCTTATCAGACGCGCATGGACTTTTATGGATAGTTGCTTCGACTCATCCGAAAATATTGTATCCAACAGGTAATCATAATAATCACATATGCCATATAATCAAAATTCTCACAGTTACTCTCATATTTTTTAGTGGTGAAAAAGCCAGCAAGGCAACTTCAGAAGCACAAAACAAAGACAGACCAGTGGGTGGTGATAAAAGCATCACACGGAAGAAAGTTGGAACAAAAGTGGATCAGCTTTTTGCTACCCCGCTTTTCGAACTCGGTGCAATGGAAGCAGGAGCAGAAAGTGACAGAAGTAGTAGTAAAAGTATCACGGAACTTCATATGAAGTATCCAAAAACATTAA